GATCTTTCATATCGTTTTTCTATTCTCTCTGTAATTTATCTCTAATCCTTATTATTCCTTTCCTCTGTTAGTATTGAATCTAGTGTGTTCTTATTTTTCTAGTTTCTTACAGTATAAATATAGGTTGTTGATTTGAAATCCTTTTTTTATTGGAAGTATTTACAGCTATATATTTCCTGGCAGCAGGGCTGCTAGGCTTTCTGGCGAGCTCAGGCACCTAGGATCACACAGGCCTGCATGAGGCAGGGCATCAACGTGGCTTGGAAGCTGCTTTCAATCAGCAAAGATACATATTTAATAACTAGAGAGTTCCATTATAAGAAGAATACAACTTGCTCTTAGGACAGATTTAATTAAAACCAAATATATTGTTAAGTTGGAGAGGAGTTTTTTGAGGTTCTGCTGTAGGGGTGAAATAAAAGGAGGCAGATGACCTGTGTCCCCACTGGCCCAGAGCAAAGCTAACCCATTCAAGGTACAGCAACTCCACTAGGAAAGGAGTCCAATTGTCTCAAAGAAACTAGGGGAATGTGACTGGATAGGTCCAATTCAGAAATCACAAATGTTCCCACAGGGAGTGAGGCCATCGACCGGGGGTATTTCCTGCCTCACAGATGACCATAGCATGCTCCATCAGAGGAGCGGGGAGGAATCAGAGTGAGAAAGACCCTGTGTTCATGTTATATGGACACACACATGTGCATGTGTGTTTGTGTGTGTATAATGAATCAAGTATGTACATGTGTGGGACATGAAAGTTGTATGTGTGTATATGATGAATGAAGTATGTGTTTGTGTATAAGCATGTGTGTGAGACATGAAACAGGCTCATGTACAGGTCATGATGAGAAGCAGGAGTGTGTGCAAGTGTGAGCGTGGGGTGAGAGTGATGGGCCAGATGGTGCATAAAGTTCCTGACAAGAACCCAGGGGACTTGTGAGACTTCAGCCCTTGCCTGCACGGCCTTGGAGACCTGAGCTGGGATATGGTGGAAGTTGACTGGTGAGCCCGGAGGGCGCGGATGGTAATTGGTCACAGGAGACCCAACCCGTATGTCAGGCCCAAGGACACATGGGCTCACCTGCCCCTGAGCCCTGATGCAATCCCTAGCTTACCTGCAAACCTACTGAATGTGAATTTTCTGCCAAGACTCTCCCAAAGGAAGGACTGAGTGGACCGTCATACCTAGTAGTGATTTCTCTTGGCGAGGGTGGTCCAAAGTGAGAGCTGCTGTCCACACTGTTCTCTTGTAGGTGGGAACACCAGGCATTCTCAGGGACTGTTCACACTCTTCCCTGATTGGGGTCAGTTACAGCCCCGGTGTGAGTTCTCAGGAGTTGAGACATCCCAGTTCAGGACTCCCACATGACGAAGCTCTCACCCTTGAAGCAAAACTGCCCAGTGCTCAAGCCCCTGTGGGAGCCAACACAAGGGTCTTGCTAGTTTGGCAACGGGGCCTTCGGTGTTTGGGCAGCAGCAGTGGGAGGGCCTGGCTCAGGAGGAAGCCCCTCAGGATCTTTGGGGTAGAGAACCAGGTACCTCCACAGTGCTGCGTGGTGCTGGAAGACAAGAAGGCCAGGAGTGGGCTGGGCGAGCACCTGTTCCCGTGGCCGAGGCTGAGGGTGGCCAAGTGCCTGTGGCTCAGCTCTGGCTGCACCAGAAGGCCGCAGGTGGGGCGCTTCCCTGCCGGGGAACTTGGGGCCTGGTCTTGGACCAGCTCCCTGGCACAGAGCAGAAGCAGGTGCACGAAGGCGCTCTCCCCCTTCCCCCGGGGGTGTGTCAGGGCCCAAGGAAAACTGACAGAGGTCACCTGCCGGCCTGGGAGCAGGTGCTCAGCCAGCAGCGCACCTGCGTCCCGGGAGGGCTCGGACCACGGTGGTGCAGGAAGAAGAGGGGCATTGACACGGGGGGGGGCCTGGGGGGGCTAGAGGGGCTGGGGGGTGGGGCCTGGGAGCCTCTTGCTCACACTTGCTGGAGTTGCCTCACCTGTTTCCCACACACAAGACGAGTTCACCTCCCAATTTCGCAACCCTTCTCAAAGTCCATAACTTTTGTTTCTGCCAAACACAAATATTTGTTATAAAGTCCACTTTTATTTACAGAGAGCGCATTGGTCAGGGCAGAGGAAACCACCGCCGCTGCCCCTGCGAGGGCTGCTGGGACCAAGTGCCCTGGTTGCAGACCCAGAAACACAGAACTCTCTTTAAGTTTCCTTGTGATGTCCCTAAATCATGCCAATGATTCTTTTCTTAAGTGGGAGAAAGACTAAAAGCAGTGATTTTGTGTTGTGGGATGAAGAATAAACTTGTTCCGGGGCACCTGGGGGGCCAGTTGCTGAGCACCCACTCTTGGTTTTGGCTCAGGTCCTGATCGCAGGATCTTCAGGTCCAGGCACATGAGGCCCCCCCACCAGGGCTGAGTCTGCTGGAGACTCTCTCTCCCTTTCCCTCTGCCCCCCCCAAATAAATAAATCTTTTAAAAAAGCTTGTTCCAAAAAAGATGTATTTGAGTTATTCTACAGAGCAAGGAATGTGATGACCTCACATGAATGAACGTGGGGTGAAGAACTGAGGGCCAGAACCCCCGTGACCTCCACCCACTGGGCTGGACGCTTGGCCTGTGGCCAGAGTCCTCAAGGGGTCCCACCAGAGGTTAGTGACGCCAGGTTGGGAGTGTGTCCTGTGGAAATAATCCTCCAAGGAACATGATACACACCCTTCGACCCCACTGTTCCTGTTTTGGGAACCACAGAAACAACAGAATATTAAAATTACATGAAAGAACCCTTAAGACAGCCTCCTTAATTGTGGGCAAAAAGCAAACAGGAAAACTGGAAAGGACGCAAATATACCTTCTCCGGGGAATGGTTTATTGCGTGTGGTGTATGTTGATGCAAAAATGAAGAAACCTAAAAAGAGGAGGAGTTTTATGGGAGCCTGAGTGAGGCCAGCTGCCTGGGGCACAGGATCTCCACGAGAAGAGGGTCTCAAGGAGGACACTTGTGCAGGGTTGTGCGTGTCGTTCCCGTACAACAGTTATAAGTCATCAGACAAAGGATGCTTTAGAGAGTCGCAGACCTCACCTTGGGCTTCAGGTGTGAGCCAAACCACACAAGACGCAGGGCGCGTGGCTTTAATTTTATGGGAACAAAAGAGCTTTCTCCCTTTTGTTTATCTTTGTGTTTGGAATGCCCCCTTTCAGTTATACTTTGAACAACACAGATGTACACCGTGTGCCGGCCAGAAATAGAGCCATGGTTTGAGACATTGCTGAGTCGCTTTGACCTTGGTTAATGTTCAAGTATAACTTCCTGAGGCCCATAAACATTAGAAGTTGAAAATTTCCTTTATCTTATCATGTATCCCACCATGGAATATTGTGCAGCATTAAAAGGAATGATCAGAAGCTACATCTATTGATCTCAAAGAGGATGCCCAAGGAATAGCTGCTGAGAGAATAAAAACCAAGTAGGTTTGGGGATCCCTGGGTGGCGCATCGGTTTGGCGCCTGCCTTTGGCCCAGGGCGTGATCCTGGAGACCCGGGATCGAGTCCCACGTCGGGCTCCCGGTGCATGGAGCCTGCTTCTCCCTCTGTCTGTGTCTCTGCCTCTCTCTCTCTCTCTCTCTGTGACTATCATAAAAAAAAAAAAAAACGAAGTAGGCCAGGGGCACCTGGGTGACGCAGTCAGTTAAGTGTCTGCTTTCGGCTCGGGTCATGATCTCAGGGTCCTGGGACTGAGCCCCAAGTCAGGCTCCTTGCTCAGTGGGAGCCTTCTTCTCCCTCTCCCTCTAAGTTAGCTTGTGCTTTCTCTGAAATAAATAAATAAATAAATAAATAAATAAATAAATAATTTTTTTAGACTTTTATTTTAAAAGATTGTATTTATTTATTCATGAGACACACACACACACACACACAGAGAGAGAGGCACAGACACAGGCAGCGGGAGAAGCAGGCTCCATGCAGGGAGCCTGATGTGGGACTCGATCCTGGGTCTCCAGGATCACACCCTGCGCCAAAGGCAGGCGCTAAACCACTGAGCCACCTAGGGATCTCCCCAAAAAATCTTTAAAACAAAAAACAAGTAGAAGAGCAGATGGCAAGACTCTTTTTTGTTCTGACAGAGAGAGAGAGAACAAATGGGGGGAGCAGCAGGCAGAGGGAGAAGCAGACTCCCTGCTGAGCAGGGAACCCCATGCAGGGCTCTATGAGGGACTCGATCTCAGGACCCTGAGATCATGACCTGAGCCGAAGTCAGATACTTAACCGAGTGAGCCCCCAGGATCCTGGCAAGGCCAGCAGCACTGGCTCCCCCACCCCATGTGCAGGCACCCAAACGTGCAGGCAAAAGGAGCAATGCGTGGCTGGCTGCCGACCCAGGGACTTGGCGGGAGTGAGTCTGGAGGAGAGGTGGGAGGGTAGTGACTTTCTTCACATACCTGTGTATTGTTTCCCCAGTGAAAATGAGGATTTGCTTAAAAAATGAACTTTAATTTGTAATGCCAGAAAAGGAATAGCTCATCATTACTTCTCATGTAAGACATTGTCTTGAATATCCTGACATGAAATTTGACAAACTGACACCTAATTTGGGGAACACGTTCACTAAGTTAATGTGCATATTATTTGGGCAGATGAAGATGCTACTGCCTTTTTGGAAAATTGACTATATCATAAAGATCTTGAAAAAGCAATATGGCAAACATCTCATGGCAAATAACAGTTCAAATATTACAAATAGCCCATAAACCTAAAAAATACTAATTGTTTAATCTTGTGGATAACTAAGTAAGTGCCAGTGGAAATGAGGAGGCAGCCCACCGTGGGATGGAGAGAAGGAATAGTCAGGCAAGTGTGGAAGGTGCCTGAGATGGAGGACGCCGGGACGGTTATGAAACGCACCTGCCTAGTGGAGGTGTGGGCAGCTGGACCCCATCCCAGGGGCCAAGGGTAAGTGGACAGTTCGCTCACTGTCCTCAATTCCATGGTTTCTGTCCAAATACAGCAAGTCATCGAAGTTAATGTACAATCACCACCTAAGACATGAGAGGAGGTCTGTGTGGTGAGCGTGAGGAGAGGCTTGGGCTGAAGGTGCAGGTGAGTCCCCAGAAGAGGCAGGAGGGGCATCATCGCAGGCCGAGGGAAGGGCAGGGGAGATGCCCAGAGGCCACACTGGGGGCTGTTCCTGGAGCTGGGCGCTCGGAGTCCCCACAGGGCAGAAGGCAAGGCCGCAACCTAGGGGGTCTCGGAGGTCTTTCTAAGGCTTTTAGGCTTTACCCTTAGGTAAATCCCGGGGACCCACTGAGGGTTTCTCAGCGGGTGAATGACCTGCCTGATCTATGTCTTTCAGGGAGATTCTGACGGCTTTGTCCTAAATGGACTGAACAGGGAAGGGGTGATGCAGTGGGAAGGGAGGAGGTGTCACATGCGGGGACACCACCAATGCCCAGGAGGGAGAAGATGGGATGAGAGGTGGTTGGGAAGAGGAGGGGGCAAAGGGATCTGGTTAAAGACCCTCTTCCACCGCCAGCTCTGTATATGCTGGAGCAAGAGACGCCCAAATTCTCCCTTCCTATCCTGGGAGAAGAGCCAAACTGACGACTAGGTTGTGGTGGGGGCGGGAAACAAAGGGACAAGGGGAACCCTGCTGGGGACAGTATAGACTCTGAACTAAGTGACTTCAAAGATGCCAAACCCGTCACATTTCTAAACAGGCTCAAGGGAGTGTGTGGGGCTCCTGTACACTTGGTTTGCAATCACAACACACTGTCTTCAACAGCTGACACCACGAGTGGCTGACAGTCCGAGTGCCAGCCCCACGGCCCACACGGGGCGGTGACATGGCTCTGCTCTGTCTGCCCACCCTCCTGGTGGCTTGTGTGGCTTTCCTGCTGTTCATCTTTGTGTGGAGAAGAGGAGGCACTCACGGGCGTTTGCTCCCACCGGGCCCGCCTCCTCTTCCCATCATTGGGAACATCCTGCAGGTGAACCTCTGGGACCTGCCCACCTCTCTCTCCAGGGTAAGGCCTCTCAGGTATGGCCAGCTAACACCGGGGCGGGTGTTGATTCCTTCCTACTTCCTGTTCGTTCCATCCTTTTGAGGAGAGCAGGAATGGTGACCCCTCAAGAATGGCTCCATTTTAAGTAATGGCCTCTGAGGCCCCCCGACAGGTCTCTCCCTAGAGAAGGTCCTTCCAGCTGGACTCTGGCTGACATGTGACCATAACATACGCAGCGCCTGTTGAGTGAGGAGCGTGTCCGCGGCACAGCGCGGTCATTGCCCAGTCTGTACCCCATCGTTGTGACTCAATGTGCCCCCATCCATCTGGCTTTCCAGCTGTACCTTGGGATCGCACCATCGTGACCTGCCAGCACGTTGGTCCCACTGCCCTGCCCTGTGTCAGCCCAGTGCCGTGTAGTCTCAGATGCCAGGATCACGGGCATCCACTCAGGAAAGGCTAGGAGGGCTGTTGGGGAATCAGGATCCTCAGACAGCAGTGGATTCTGACTTGAGTGAGGGACACAGAGGTGGGTGGGTGTGTCCTAGACTGCGTCTAGAAGCTTCTGCAGGGCCCTCATGGAGTCCTTCGTCTCCACTTTCCCCAATGCCCACGTGGGCACCTTCTTGTCCTAGCCCGGCTGGCATTCCATGCCTAGTCATGTGCTTCTCTCCCTGGCATCAGCTGTGGTCCCCTCTCCCTGCTCAGAGTCTGCGCCTCTGTGGGCCCAGGCTCGGGAGGACTCAGGTGGCCCTACTCATGGGTCCCTAAGCTCTCGGAGCCCCTTCATGCTGCCCACAGCCCCGGGATGTCCGCTCCTCCCCTCCGCCCACTCTCCTAAGCGACTCTTTGCTGCCTGCTCCTATTTCTTCAACCCTCCAGCAGCGTCCCTTCCCACCGCCATGTCATTGTCATGCCCATCTCTCTGAGAAAACCCAGCTCTCGGACAGACTGTCCTGCAGCCCAGAGCTCTCAGCCCTCGCACCACAGAACTCACGGGCACTGCGCTGACCGGCACGAAGCTGCACCTCTGCCCCTGCCGCCTCTCCTGCCTTCCGTGTCTGGAAGGGGTGCTTGTATTCTCAGTCACCCCGACTCCCCCCTCCTACCACATCCCAGCCACCAACAAACCCCTCTCTCTACCTTGGGAAGGCACGGGGAACCCAGCGTTCTCTTTCTACCTGGATCAATTCAACAGCGTCCTGCCCACAGATGGCCTCCTTCCATTCCGTTCGCACTCCAGGCAGGGAGGCCCTGGAGGAGGTGGCCCACCCCCTTCAGCAGCTCATGCCCCTCATAGGACCTGGCCCTTCCACTCCCCCCACCTACCCTTCCGCCCTCGAACCCCCCGCCCCACCTTGCACACCCTCCTGCCCTCTGCTGCCCTCTGTGGCCACTGGCCTCCTCAATCCTTCCCACCCCAGGCACCCGCGATCCTCAGGGCTTCCCGGATCCCTCTGCAGGACATACTGTTCTTGCAGATCCCCACCTGGCTGCCATTCCCTTCTTTCTTGGTGGTGACAGCGCTGCCTTCCAAGGAGACGTTCCCCAGTGGCCTCTCAAGGATGAACCACGCCCCGGCCTCACTGGTGTCTCCCTCTGCGTGTCTGCATGCTAGCATAGTCCAGACTTGACCATCACATCTCACCCACTAGAAAGCGTATCAAAGACAGTAATTTTCCCGCTGGGCCCTGTCTTTTCCCAGTCGAGACACCGTGTAGTTCCTAGGATTTGTCCAATGCTTAGTAAGTGGTTTGTTCCCTCCAGTAATGGAAGGGATTAGGGCAAAGGCAGAAAAGCTCAAGAGGCCGGAGTATGACTCACCCCACCCCCAGGCCTGCAGCCCCGAGTCTTGGCCGGGGTTCACTAGGGGAGGGTGCTGGCCACGCATCGGGGCTGCTTCTCTTCTACCTGGGCCTGCGCAGCTAGGAGCCGGGCCAGTTGCTCAGGTGTGCTTTGCCACTCTCCCCAGCTGGCTGAGCAGTACGGCCCTGTGTACTCACTGCGCCTGGGCCCCCATCCGGTCGTCGTGCTGCATGGATACCAGGCTCTGAAGGAAGCCCTGTGCGGCCAGGCGGTCAACTTTGGAGGCAGAGGGAAGTTCCCCATCATGGATAATGCCCTCAGAGGATATGGTATGTCTCCAACCAGAGCGCGGGCCAGCCCCCTTTCCCTCTGGGCCTCAGATCTGCCCGATGCTGTGGTTCACAGCCCTTCCCGGGGCTGGGGTGCTGGGGGGTGTGGCAGGTACCCCAGTTACTCCATCACAGCTCTGCCCAGCCCATGCCACCCACGTACCCTTCCCCCCTTTCCATTCCCCTCCATCTCTTGTTCCAGAATATGTGGCTTTTTGAAGGGGTGGGGGCCGTAGGATGGTAGAGCATCACACAGTGATTCGTGCCAGTTACTGCAAGTGTGAGCGACAGGTCTTCATCTTCACAAGGACTGAAATGTCTAATTGCTTGCAGAGTTGCTGTGCCAGGGGATGGCAGGCACCGTGCTAGATTTTCTGTGGACGGGAGGGTTGGCCAGGAAAGGCTCTGCAGTGAGCAAGAGCGCAGGGAGCAGAGGCCCGTCTCGGTTCTCCCTTTGTGCTTTGTGAGGCACCGTCCTAGAATGAGCGAGGGGGCGTGGGGGTGTTTTCTGAGTCCTCATACCCAGGGGTGTCCTCGTGCCTTCATGGCTGACTGGTGGCTGGTGAGCAGAAGATCTGGAATGGATACCGTCTTTTGCGTCCAAGGCTGGGGGTGCCAGTGACCCTCCCGCCCCCCTGCTGTCCCTATTTCTGTAGTAGGAAAGATTTCCTTGCCCTCCCTCGGGTCACTAGCTTAGTCTTAAGCCTTGTGTCTGTTACTTGGAGAGTGCTTGAACCATTTAATATAACAGTTGTTACCACCTTTCCTGGGGTTAGTACAAAGTCGCAATCGTATAGTTCAGTGGGCACCTGTGCGGCCCACCTGTGTGGCCCACCTGTGCAGCCACCACTCAGATGAAGGAGCGAACGCCCCAGACCATGGAGTCCCCGCTTGCCTTCCCCCCGAACACATTACTCCACCTTTCCCCAGTTAGCACATACCCTGACACTGAACACCATAGTTCAATTTTCCTACTTTAGAGCTGTATAGACATGGCATATACAGTAGTTACTCTGTAGGATCCGGCCTCTTCCCTTCGGAAGTGTGCTTCTGCGCTGCCTGCATGTGGTGGTTGCCGTGCTCAGGCCAGCTCTGTCGCTGTGCGGCGCTCCACCGTTTGGACATCATTTATCTTTTCCGCTGTTAGTGGACATTGGGTTGGGGGTCATGGCCCATGCTGCTGCTGGGAACACACCTGAACACGTCTCCTGCTGTCGTGGGTCTGTATCTACTTAGGCAAAAACTACACCAGCTACGGCGAGTCATTTTATTCCTGGATCTGTTTCTAAAAAACGAACAACAAGGGTCCTATGAACTATTGGAATCAAGTTACTTCTGCCTAAAATACATCCTTTAATATTTATTTACTGCAGTCTTCCATGACAAATTCTTTCTGATTACATTTGCCTCAACCTGCCTTAATTTTATCTTCATTTTTGAAAGAGGTTTCAACTGAATCAGAATTTTGGTTAGTGGCGATTTCTTCTCATTCTTTTAAAGATGCCATTCCTTGTATCTGGTGTCTATTATTTTTGTGCAAAATTATGGTTCATAGTGTCATCCTTTAGAGCATGGTGTGTATTTATCCCCCTTGGATGGTTTTGTTTGTATGTATCCTTTCTGCATTTTTACAATTTAAATACAATTTCCTGACATATAGTACATCATTATTTTCAGATGTAGTGTTCAGTAATTCATCAGTTTCGTATAACACCCTGTTATCTAACATCATGTGCCCTCCTTGATGCCGGTCACCCAGGTACCCCATTCCCCCCACCCCAGCCCCTCCAGAGAAACCTCAGTTTTTTCCCAAAGTCAAGAGTCTCTCATGGTTTGCCTTCCTCTCTGATTTTCCCATTCAGTTTTCCCTCCTTTCCCCTATGATCCTCTGTTTTCTTTCTTAAATCCCACATATGAGTGAAACCATATAATTGTCCTTCTCTGATTGACTTATTTCACTCAGCATAATACCCTCCAGTTCCATCCACGATGATGTAAATGGTTAGATTTCATCCTTCCTGATGGTTGAATAATATTCTATTGTGTATATAGACCGCATCGTCTCTATCCATCATCTTTGAAGGACACCGAGGCTCCTCCCGCAGTGTGGCTACTGTGGAAACTGCTGCTGTGAACTCTGGGGTGCAGGTGTCCCAGCGTTTCATTACATCAGTATCTTTGGGGTAAATCCCCAGCAGTGCAATTGCCGGGTCATAGGGCAGGTCTATTTTTACCTCTTTGAGGAACCTCCACACAGTTTTCCAGCGTGGCTGCACCAGGTCACATTCCCACCAATAGTGCAGGAGGGTCCCCTTCCTCCACATCCTCTCCAACATGTGTGGTTTCCTGTCTTGTTAATTTTCCCCATTCTCACTGGGGTGAGGTGGGATCTCAGTGTGTGTTTGATCTGTATTTCCCTGATGGCCAGGGATGCGGAGCATGTTCTCATGTGCTTGGGGGCCATGTGAGGGTCTTCTCTGGAGAAATGGCTGTTCACGTCTTCTGCCCATTACTGACTGGATTGTTTGTGTCTTGGATGTTGAGTTTAAGAAGTTCTTTTATAGATCTTGGATACCAGCCTTTTATCTGATGTGTCATTTCCAAATATCTTCTTCCATTCTGTAGGTTGCCTTTTAGTTTTGTCAACCTTTTGCTGTGCAGAAGTTTTTTTTTTTATCTTGATTAAGTCACAATAGTTCATTTTTGCCTTTGTTTCCCTTGCCTTTAGAGATGTGTCTTGTAGAAGTTGCTGCAGCCGAGGTCAAAAAGGTTGCTGCCTATGTTATCCCCTAAGATTTTGATGGATTACTGTCTCACATTTAGACATTTCAACCATTTTGAGTTTATCTTTGTGTCTGGTGTAAGAGAATGGTCCAGTTTCATTCTTCTGCATGTGACTCTCCAATTTTCCCAGCACCATTTCTTGAAGAGACTGTCTTTTTTCCAGTGGATGGTCTTTCCGGCTTTGTGGAATATTAGTTGACCATAGACGTGAAGGCCTATGTCTGGGTTCTCTATTCTGTTCCATTCATCTATGTGTCTGTTTTGTACCAGTGCCACGCTGTTTTGATGATCACAGCTTTGTAATATAGCTTGAAGTCAGGCATTGCGATGCCCCCAGCTTTGGCTGTTCCTCCCCACAACATTCCCCTGGCTATTTGGGGTCTTTTCTGGTTCCATGCAAATCTCAGGATTATTTGTTCCAACTCTGTGAAGAAAGTCCATGGTATTTTGATAGGGGTTGCATTGATTGTGTAGATTGCTCTGGGTAGCATGACATTTTCACAATATTTGTTCTTCCAACCCATGAGCGTGGAATGTTTTCCCATCTCTTTATGTCTTCCTCAATTTATTTCAGTGTTCTGTAATTTTTAGAGTACAGATCCTTTATGTCTTTGGTTAGGTTTATTGCTAGGTATCTTATGCTTTTGGGTGCAATTGTAAATGGGATCAGTTCCTTAATTTCTCTTTCTTCAGCCTCATTGTTAGTGTGTAGATATGCCACTGATTTCCGTGCATTGACTTTGTATCCTGCCACATTGCTGAATTCCTATATGAGTTCTAGCAATTTTAGGGTGGAGTATTTTGGATTTTCCATATACAATAACCTGTCATCCGCAAAGAGTGAGAGTTTGACTTCTTCTTCACCAATTTGAATGCCTTTTTTTCCTTTTCGCTGTCTGATTGCTGAGGCTAGGACTTCTAGTACTATGTTGAATAGCAGTGGTGAGAGTGGACATCCCTGTTGTGTTACTGACCTTAGAGGAAAAGCTCTGTTTTTCCCTCATTGAGCATGATATTCCCTGTGGGGTTTTTGTAGATGGTTTTTATGATATTAAGGTATGTTCCGTCTATCCCTACTCTTTGAAGAGTTTTAATCAAGAAAAGATGGTGTCTATTGTCAAATGATTTTTCTGCATCAATCAAGAGGATCATATGGTACTTGGCTTTTCTTTTATTAATGTTCTATCATGTTATTGATTTGTGAATGTTGAACCAGCCTTGCATCCCAGGGATAAATCCCATTTGGTCATGGTGAATAATAATCTTATTGTACTGTTGGAAACTATTAATGGTATTTTGGTTAGTATTTTGACATTTATGTTCATCAGGGATATTGGTCTGTAATTCTTCTTTTTGATGGGGTCTTCATCTGTTTTGGGGATCAAGGTATTGCTGGCCTCATAGAACAAGTTTGGAAGTTTTCCTTCCACTTGTATTTTTTGAAACAGATTCAATAGAATAAGTATTATTAATTCTTGAAAGGTTTGGTAGAGTTCCTCTGGGAAGCCAACTAGCCATGGACTCTTGTTTTTTGGAAGTTTTTTTTTTTTTTTTTGGGTGGGGAGGTTTTTGATGACTGCTTCAATTTCCTTGCGGGTTATTGGTCTGTTCAGGTTTTATATTATTTCCTGTTTCAGTTTTGATAATTTATAAGTTTCCAGGAATGTATCTATTTTTCCCATTTGCTTAATTTGTTGGCATGTAGTTGCTCATAATATGTTTTTTCATAATATGTTCTTAAAATTATTTGTATTTCCTTGGTGTTGATCATGAGCTCTCCTATTTCATTCAAGATTTTATTAATTTAAGTCCTTTCTCTTTTATTTTTGATAAGTCTGGGCAGGGGTTTATTTATCTTATTAATTCTTTTAAAGAACCAGCTCCTAATTTCTGTTTGATCTGTTTTACTGTTCTTCTGATTGACCCATTCATTCACTAGGATGCTCTTTAACGTCCAAGTGTTTGAGTTTCTTCCAAATTTCTTATGATTGATTTCAAGTTTCAAAGCGTTGTGGCCTGAAAATATGCAAGGAATAATCCCAATCTTTTGGTACCAGTTGAGACCTGATCTGTAACCCGGTAAATCTATTCTGGAGAAAGTTATATGTTCTGTTGAGAAGATTATGTATTCTGTTGCTTTAGGGTAGAATGTTCTGTATATATCTGTGAAGTCCATCTGGCCCAGTGTGTCATTCAAAGCCCCTGTTTCTTCTTGCTCTTCTGCTGATGATCTGTCCATTGCTGTGAGTGGGGTGCTGAAGTCCCCTACTGTCAATGTATTATTATCTATATGTTTCTTTACTTTGGATATTAATTGGTTGATATAATTGCCTGCTCCTATATTTATAATTGTTAGATATTATATTTTTATTGGATAGACCCTTTAAAATGATATAGCGTTCTTCTTCATCTCTTACTATAGTCTTTGGTTTGAAATACAATTTATCTGAAGTGAGGATTGCTACCCTAGCTTTCTTTTGAGGTCCACTTGCATGGCAAATGGTTCTCCACCCCCTTATTTTCAGTCTGAAGGTCTCATTAGGTCTAAAATGAGTCTCTAGTATACAGCATATGGATGGATCTTGCTTTTAAAATCCAATCTGATACCCTGTTTCTTTTAATTGGAGAATTAGCCATTTACATTCAGAGTAACTATTGAAAGATATGAATTTAGAGCCATTGTATTACTTGTAATGTCCCTGTTTATGCAGATTGTCTGTTTCTTTCTGGTCCATATCACTCTTAGGCTTTCACTTCCCTTACAGGGTCCCCCTTAATATTTCTTGCAGAGTGGATTTGGTGGTCACATGTTCTTTCGGTTTCTGTCTATCCTGGAAGTTCTTTATCTCTCCTTCTATTCTGAATGATAGCCTTGCTGGATGAAGTATTCTTGGCTGCATGTTTTTCTCTTTTAGGACCCTGAATATATCACGCCAGCCCTTTCTGGTCTGCCTGGTCTCTGTGGAGACGTCTGCTGCCAATCTAATATTTCTCCCTCTGTATGTTAGGAATATCTTATCTTGAGCTGCTTTCAGGATTTTCTCTTTACCTCTGAAGTTTTCATTATTAGATCCCAGGGTGTTGATCTATTTTTGTTGATTTTGGGAGGGGTCCTCTCTATGTCTTGGATATGAATGCCAGTTTTCTTCCCCAGATTAGAGAAGTTCTCAGCTATGATTTACTCAAATATACTTTCTCTCTCTCTCTCTCTCTCTCTCTCTCTCTCTCTCTCTCTCTCTCTCCATTCCAATAAATCTGATGTTCTTTTTCTTTGGCACCACTTATCTCTCAGAGGCTCTCCTCATGAGCTATTTGGTTGTTTTTCTCTCTTTTCCTTGGTTTCTTTCTTTTCTATCAACTTGTCTTCTATGTTGCTTTCTCTTCTTCCTCACTCTCCCTAACTGTTAGAGCATTCAGTTTAGATTGCATTTCAGTTAGAGTATTTATAATTTTGGCTTGATTAGATCTCATTTCTGCACTAGGATATTCTCTAGAGTCTTTATGCTTTTTTCAAGCCCAACTAGTAACTTTCTAATTGTTATCCTGAATTCCATCTCTGACATTTTACTTAAATCCATATCCTTTAGATCTGTGACAGAGAGTATTACCTCTGGTTCTTTCTTTTGTGGCCCGGGCAGGGAAAGCTTTCAGCAGCTTATATGTGCACAACTCAGTCTCTCCCTGAGGAAGCAGAGGGTTGCCCCATTTCTGTCCGTCACTGGGCCCTGGCACAGATGGCGTTTGCCTGGTAGAGTGCATAGTTGTCTCTCCCAGAAGAAGGCTGAGGTTTGCTTCATTCCAGGCCTTTGCAGGGACCCAACATGAACAGTGGTCCTCCAATCTGGCCTTAGTTCTTAGTTTATGGCAAACTGAGTTGACCTCAACCCACTTCCTGCTCCAATGCTGGGGAACTCTGCTGACTCATGAACCTCTGTCCTTCCTGGGGTTCCCTCTTGAGACCCTACCATCTCTGCTGTGATTCTGCCCCACTTCACCACTGAGCACCTTTCAGGCAAGGAATTGTCTCACAGGAGCAGATGTCTAAAGGTCCTGATTTTGAGCTCCAGGTCTCTATCAGCTGCTCTATCCTGCAGCCAGCTTACACAGACTCCCTCCCCCATCATTTATCTTCCCATATGTCCCCTCCGTCTCTCTTCTCCGCGCTCTACTTTGCAAAAAGTGACCACTTTTCCATTTGTAGAGTTCCAGCCATTCTTCCTTTACATCTCAGGTTGAATCCATAGGTGTTCAGGATGGTTTGATAGTTATCTAGCTAAACAGACCAGATGAAACAAGGACCCCTACTCTCTGCCATCTTGCCTCCTCCCGGTTTCTGCATTTTTAAAGTACGTGTGTTAGTTTGAGAAACTTCTGTCATCATACAGACAAGCATTTCTTCCATAATATTCTTTTTTTTTTAATTTTTTTTAATTTTTTTTATTTATGATAGTCAGAGAGAGAGAGAGAGAGAGAGAGAGAGAGGCAGAGACACAAGCAAGCTCCATGCACCGGGAGCCCGACGTGGGATTCGATCCCGGATCTCCAGGATCGCGCCCTGGGCCAAAGGCAGGCGCCAAACCGCTGCGCCACCCAGGGATCCCTCTTCCATAATATTCTTTTCTTTCCCTGCTACTCACCAATCATACATGTTATCTGAAAACTTTCTTAAATTCTTTCAGGATTTTCAGTATCTTTAACTTCTGTTGTTTGAACTGTTTTCTTCTAAGTTTCCAGCTCACAAGTTCTCTCTTCGGTTGTGTGTAAATGTGAGTATTAACTTTAGTTATTCTATTTTTCAGTTTGAAAACTTGAGGTTCTATGATTTGTTTTCAATCTCTAACAAATTCTTAATCGTGTTTTTAACACTGACCTACTCAGAGTTAATAACGTCTCTGATTTTGCCACCAGATGGGAGTTCCAGCCGGTCTCTGTGACCCGTACTTTCGTGGCTGTGCTCATCTATTGGGATGCCTACTAATTTTGTATTAGGTTCCAGACAACTTATCTTAAAAATTGCAGGGATAATTTCAGGCTTGAGTAATGGCATCTTTGTACAGAGAAGATTTACTGCTTCCTTGAAGCAGGTAGGGCAGCAGCACCAGGGGCACCCTAGCCCTGCACCAGCAGGTGGCTTCAAGCCGGGCTGTGGACCTATTGGGTTGATCTATCTCCAGGTCAACCTCACTCCTGGGTGCAGCCCCAGACGTTTACCGAAGATGCTCTCCTTGGCAGGCTTGACTCTTGCTTCTAGGACCTTCCCAGTGTTCAACAGCTCTGCTTGGTTTTTGTCTCTCACTTGTGCTTCTATTGGAAAGCAACCCCCCACAGTTCCTCATTCCCTTGTTGGCTCTGCGCTGCTTTCCTACTGGTCCTTATGAACCATACATATGTTTATGTAGCACCTCTATCTCATCTCAGCAGAAGGGATTGATTAGAATCACCTGGCCCATCACTGTCAGAAGAAGATAAGATGCTGTAAGTTTTTAATTCTTACAAACTCTCTTCTGTCCTGGCTGCCTCTTTTTACTACTTATTGTTTTGGTCATAGTGCCAAGATCCTATTGAATTGGTCTAAGACGTTAATTAGAATTCCTGGAATTATCAGAAATATCTTTGTTGCCCCCATTGATGGATATGGGTAGCTAGTGTGAGCTCACGTCCTCTCATGCTGGTATTTCCTGACAATCCTGTGACAGAACTGACTTCAGATTTGTACAGCTGGATGAGGCACTTTCCTATAGGACAAAGGGAGAGAAGCAGACAACTGGGTTTTTGACAAGAGCCAAACTGGGATGAATCTGAGAGTAAAGCCCTTCAGATGAGCTGCCTCCAGGAAGAACTGACATTCTGTGGACTCTAAAAAAATCTACTTTCTAGCATCAGCCTGGGGTAGAAAAGGAAAAGTTGATGATGCTCTGGTCCTCTGAAAGTTCTCAAGGAAGCCCCATAGTATCAAGTGTCCATGATGTGCCAGGGCCCCTCTGCCTGCCCTCTGGTGACCAGACTCCTGTCCTTGGTTCTTTCCTCAGGAATTGTGTTCAGCCATGGTGAGCGGTGGAAGCAAATGCGTCGGTTTACCCTCATGACCCTGCGGAACTTTGGGATGGGGAAGAGGAGCATTGAGGACCGCATCCAGGAGGAAGCCCAGCACCTGATGCAGGCCTTCTCACACACACAGGGTTGGTCAGCATGCACCGCCAGCCAGATATCTGGGGGGAGTTAGGGCCACCTCCCCTTGCTTCCCTGAGCCCAGCACTACACCGCTGGGACCACCTTCCCTGTTTTCTATTTGGAAAGTGTAGACCATTCATGAAAGTTTTCCTTGATGTTTGTAATCTTCCCTCTTATCAGCTCAGCCCGTAGACCCTACCTTCATCTTTGCTTGTGCTCCTTGCAACATGATCTTCTCCATCCTCTTTAATGAGCGCTTTGACTACCAAGACAAGGAATTGCAGCAGCTGATTATGTTGCTGAATGAAAACATTTCCATAGCAAGCTCTTTCTGGACACAGGTGAAGTCAATGATCCCTGGTTGTGGGATTGCCTGCCGTTGGTCCCAGGGGTGAGCAGAGTGCAGAGTCCCAGCCTGGGCAGCAGGGAGGCAGCAGTGCAGGGTGTGCATGGGGAGACAGAACACAGCTGAGGGCCCATGAGGGTCAGGCAGGCTTTCCTGTCCCAGTATGTCTCTTCTGAGATGCCCTCAAGCTTCCCTGGCTCTTGCTAATGCAGGCAGGAGCCCACCCTGAGATCCTGCACCCAGAAACGAGAAGGGGCTGCAGAGGGTAGGGTCCCCTGGAACAGATGCTTCAAGACCACACAACCCTCTTTTGGTGTTTGATTCCTGGTGATGGAATGGGGATGTGGCTTTTCCTTACAGCTCTACAATTTGTGGCCATCATTCATTCACTATCTTCCTGGGAGACACCAGAAATTTTTTAAAAACATTCAGAATATAAAAAATTTCATTTTGGAGAGAGTGGCACAGCATCAAGAGACTCTGAAGCCTGAGCAGCCCCGGGACTACACTGACTGCTTCCTCGACAGGATGGAGGAGGTACGTGTGGCGGCTGTGTGGCCCTTGGAGCACAGATGTGTTCTTCTGGGTTCCAGGCACTCAGGTCCAGGCCTGCCAACCAATCCCTGTCTGGAAGCCCCTGGGCCTCTGCTGTGTGTTTTCCAACCTTCTTTCTCACATGTGGAGCGCATACCCATCCCTCATTAACTGATGGATGGCTGAGTATGTGCACCTGTTGGCAAAGTGGCCCAAGTGCCACTGTTTGCCCTGAGGAGCTCACTGGCTGATCCTACAACTGTGGGCAAACTGGCTGATATGCAGAGTGACAGTTGCTGCCATCACTACTTAGGGGGCTCAGGTCACCTTATTCTAATGCCTGGACAGAGCCCACCTGGACAGATGATAAGTGCCTTGGGGGATACTGCGAGTATGCTTGTCTATCTGTGTGTGAGTCCATGCACACGAACAGGTGTGTCATGTGCATGTGTTTATACACAAGCAGGTCCTGTTATTTTTACCTTCAAGGCTGTCAAAAGGGAAACATCCTAAGATATATTTTCCACTATGCAAAATTTTAGAAATAATTTCTTTGCCGATTACAAATTACGTATCAAATGAAAATCACTTGGCAAAAAAAAGGCATAAAAATAACCATTCGTATACACAGTAAATATTCAACTTCCTAAGGGCTTATTACCATTTCTAATCTGCATCTGTCTGTACCTAGTAGTAGTGAACTTATGAAATCATGTACTGATCACTCCATTATCTACAGGAAAAACACAATCCATATTCTGAATTTAACTTGGAGAACCTAGTAGCTGTTGGCTTTAATCTGTTCAGTGCTGGCACTGAGACAGTCACAAACACCCTGCGGCTGGCGCTGCTGATCCTGCTGAAGCACCCTGAGGTGGAGGGTGAGTGAGCATTTGGGCTGGGGAGGGGGAAACACGGGGAAGAAGATGTCATCCCAACTCTTCAGTTATTTCTTCCATGTAATTTTTTCATGTACTAGCTTTCCCTGATTTAAAAGTTAATTAACACAGGTGCATCCTATAAAAATTGGAAAATACAGAAAATTATGTAGACAAATTTTTAAAAATTCACTAAGTAGTTCTATCATTCAGATATAAGTGTATATTTGCATTGGACAGTTTCCTTCCTTCTTTTTTTAAAAAAATATTTTATATTTATTTGTGAGAGACACAGAGAGGCAGAGACATAGGCAGAGGGAGAAGCAGGCTCCACACAGGGATCCCGATGTGGGACTCCATCCCAGGACCCCAGGATCATGCCCTGAGCCAAAGGCAAATGCTTAACCACTGAGCCACCCAGGGGTCCCGACAGTCTCCTTCCTAACCTTACTCTTTCTGTGTGCACATGCACGTTTCACAATCAGAATTTTACTGTATTGAACCTTATTTTTTCACTTAGTAATACATCGTGGGCTTGTTTACACATTATTAGGAATTCTTATAAAATATTATTTTAAATTAGCATGTAATTATTCATACTGAAGGGATCCCTGGGTGGCGCAGCGGTTTGGCGCCTGCCTTTGGCCCAGGGCGCGATCCTGGAGACCCCGGATCGAATCCCACGTCGGGCTCCTGGTGCATGGAGCCTGCTTCTCCCTCTGCCTGTGTCTCTGCCTCTCTCTCTCTCTCACTGTGTGCCTATCATAAATGAATAAAATTAAAAAAAACTCATAAGCTGTATGCTTGATATTTGTGAAAAAAATTATTCATACTGAAGCATACTATAATTTAACTAATTCATTATTTGTGAGAATTTCAATTGTTTTATATTTTTTGCTATGACACATAATTTGAAAAATATCATTGTACCAAAAATTTTATATGCCTTTGATCATGGCCTTAGGATAAATTTTTAGAAATTATTTGGAATAACTAAAATAACTTTTGATCAATTTTAAAAAGATTTTATTGAGACATGAGAGACACACAGAGAGAGAGGCAAAGACGGCAGAGGGAGAAGCAGGTTCCATGCAGGGAGCCCGACGTGGGACTCGATCCCAGGTCTCCAGGATCACGCCTGGGCTGAAGGGGGCGCTAAACCACTGAGTCACCCAGGCTGCCCAACTTTTGATCATTATTCCCAAATTTTGATATGTCCTTGGGAACCCCTGTATATACTGCCTTATACAAGCAGGCAATAAATAAACTGAAATATTTAATCACAATGAAGATGATATCAAATGACATAAATAATTTTTTGATCAGTGAAAGAGGAAGGAATTAGTTTCTGAATCTCAAACCTCATTTCACACACGAGGGTCGGCATGTGACACGCCTGTTGCACATGTGCCGCACATTGGCTGTGTGGCTCAGGACAAATGTGCATTCTCAGTTCAGTCTCCCTCTTGGTACAAAGCAACACAAAGTGAGAGCTGAGGGCCCCTCTCTAGTGCTTCTGTGGTTCTCTGAAGCTATTTCATGAAATTAGAATAGCTGTCTCTTGAGAGCTTTAAGGAAATCAACACTTTCTTCGCTTAGAAAGTTTTGTTCCAAAAGCATTGTGTGGTTACAGTAAAACAGCCTTGGTTTCCATCCTGGCTCCACAATAGGATAGCCTCCATGAGGTCACTTGATGTCTCTGAATTGTAGTTGTTTCCTCTTAAAAACAAGAATATTTGGGCACCTGGGTACCTCAGTAGGTGAAGTGCCTGCTTTCAGCTCAGGTCATGATCCCAGGGGGGACCTGCTCATGACCCCAGTTGGGGTCCCTGCTCCACGGGGAGCCTGCTTCTCCCTCTGCCCATGCTCACTCTCTTTCTCTTTCAAATAAGTAAATAAAATGTTTTTTAAAAAACAAGATTAAAACCTACCCTAGAGTGTTGAGAGGAACAGGTTTCTAGCTGATTGTCTAGTACGCTTAGTAAGTATCTTTCCCACCACTTCTCATAAATGTTCAGAATACTGGTTGCTAGTGACATCTTAGATGGTCTTCCGGAGTCAGAATTGTCCACATTATAGCTTGCAAATATCTGTGTGGAACTGAATGGTTGTAACCCTGCCCTTTTAGTTCTCATAAAGAACAAGTGAAGGATTCAGGCTAACAGGATCATCTCATGGGGGGTCCTGGGCACATCCTGCATTATGGGCAATTTCAGCCAAATCAAACATGTTCCTACCACAGTTTCAAACAGCATGACTTATAGAAGGGAATGCTTTCCTTTGTGAATTTGTAGAATTGAGTTTCTGGACCCCTGTAGCCCAGTTTCAGATGACACTTCAGGATGTCATCTGGATGGCTCACGAGTGACACTGTTGTTTCATGCAGGTAAAATTCACGAGGAAATTGACAGAGTGGTGGGCCGGGACCGGGTCCCCTGCATGAACGACAGGACCCAGATGCCTTACACAGATGCCGTGGTGCATGAGGTCCAGAGATACATCAATCTCATCCCCTCCAATCTGCCTCATGCTGTGACTCAGGACACCAAGTTCAGACAGTTCTACATTCCTAAGGTCAGTCATCTTCCTTTACATTCTTGTATTATGACAATTAAGTGCCTGATTTTTTATTTTATGGGAAGTGGGTTTATATTAGCCCCATTTGCTGACTCTGTGTAAGTAAAAACTTTACCAAAAAATTACTTGTTTTCTTTTTTTTTTTTAATTTTTTTTTTATTTGTGACAGTCACACAGATAGAGAGAGAGGCAGAGACACAGGCAGAGGGAGAAGCAGGCTCCATGCACCAGGAGCCCGATGTGGGATTCGATCCCAGGTCTCCAGGATCACGCCCTGGGCCAAAGGCAGGCGCCAAACCGCTGCGCCACCCAGGGATCCCAATTACTTGTTTTCTTAAGAGGCATTTTAGTAATCATGATCAAAAAATTTTTTATATCTTAAGAAAAGGTAGGAGAAAAAAATATTTTGGGCAGTTTTTATTCCAGAGATTTCACAATTTCCAATAGAGTTTGCACTTGAATAGTAGTTAAATAAAGCTCCACTAGAAATGCTTGTGCAATATACCTAAGGAAGACAAAAGGAATATTGGAAGAGAGAAAGGACAGATTCGAGTTTAATGAGTGAATATTAAAATTAGAAGGTAGAGAAAGAATAACAGTGCAGACTCTAAGAGAGCACAAATGAGGTCATAGTACCAAAAAGAAACTAATGATAGAAAAAAAATAAAATCTAGATTTGGGAGAAAAATGGTAAAATAGCAAACCTCTAGAGAGACTGATAAAGAACAAAAGAGTGTGAGGGAATAGATCAAATAATCAGTTAAGAACAGAAATTCTCATGGAAATTGGAATATATTTGGATTTAAACAATAGTAAGATATAAAGGGATAATTACATGGGCAGCAAGAAGAGAATTGGAAAGAAAATGTATGCTGCACAACTCTTTTTTATTTAGGAACAAATATAATATTTTAGTGATAAAAATTTATGATCTTAAACTCATATGATAGAAAATATGGGTTACATATTTTCATATCAGCAATAGTGAAACACAATTTATTTTATGTTTATTTAAAGAACGTCCACTTAAAATGGACTCAAAATTATAGGAAATGAAGTCATAGGAATTAATCTAACAAGATCTCTGCAAGACATTTGTGGAGAGAATTAACAAGCTATTGAAGGGCATAAAGAAGACCTAAATAAATAGAGTTATTCTTAATATGTTAGTAGAGAAAAAAATAACACCAAGGTGACATTTTTCCCATAGTAATCTATAAAGTCATATAAAACTTTGTACTAGGGATCCCTGGGTGGCGCAGAGGTTTGGCGCCTGCCTTTGGCCCAGGGCGTGATCCTGGAGACCTGGGATCGAATCCCACGTCGGGCTCCCGGTGCATGGAGCCTGCTTCTCCCTCTCCCTGTGTCTCTGCCTCTCTCTCTGTGACTATCATAAATAAATAAAAATTTAAAAAAAATAAAAATAATACTTTGAACTATGTTTTCTATGGAACACAACAAGAAGATCCTAGATTCATATAGAATGGAAACACGCCAAGAAAAGTCATATACATTTTTAAAAGGTGAGTGATAATATTAAATTAATGTCAGTGGATATTGTGATTGTTTCAAATAGTGGGGATTCCCCCAAGGGAACAGAGTAGGGAGCCTAGAAAGAGACCTAGACAGGTGTGTGTGATGAGGGGATATTGTAAATTAGGGACAGAAAAGACTGTTCAGTAAATGATCATAGAAAAAAATCCCTATGAAGTCCCTACCTCAAACCACAGAAAAGGTATTTCTGGAAATATTGAGCACTTTCATGCAAGAAGTAAATTAATTGGGGATCCCTGGGTGGCTCAGTGGTTTGGTGCCTGCCTTTGGCCCAGGGACTGATCCTGGACTCCTGGGATCGAGTTCCACGGCGGGCTCCCTGCATGGAGCCTGCTTCTCCCTCTGCCTCTCTCTCCCTCTCTCTCTGTGTCTATCATGAATAAATAAATAAACAAATCTAAAAAAAAAGAAGTAAATTAATTCATTTATAATAACAGGAGAATATTTTTATGATATTGGGGCAGGAAAATTCTTCTCAAACGCAATGGAAATGGCATGATCTTGAAGAAAAGCATGGCCAAATGTGATTCCATTAAAAGGGAAAATGTTCTGTAGAACAAACACAACACAAGGCCAGAGCTAAGCTAAAGATCATGAACAAATACCTGTAGTGCATATAACTTATAAATAAATAACTTCTAAATTATGTAAAGAACTCCCCAAATCATAAGGAAATAAAACACAGAACAAAGAACAAATGAACAAAAGATAAAACTAAGAGAAGCACAGACCAGAACACCTAGAAAGTCAATATGTGTATGGAAAGATATTCAAGCAAACTAGCAAGTGCAAATTAAAACTGTAATTATAGTCTATAATACTCTAGGTAACTTAAAAAATTTTTATTCCCAAGTATTGGTAAAAACGTGGGTGACTCACATGGATAGAGGCTTTGAGAGATCATAGCAGCTAGGGGCCAGAGATTTGAGCCCCATGGGCAGGAACGGTGTACTGGTCCACGTGGGGCAGCGGCTAGACCTGACCCCAGCATGAAGACGATGTGCTCTATGAGACCCAGAAAATTCCTCTCACAAGCCAACAAGCACAATGGAGAATCATCACTGCAAAGGATTCTGGGTAAGGACAAAGCCCAGTCCTATGCCATGCCTAGGTTTAGACACAAAAGTTTCACTGCTATTAGGGTGCAGAATTCACGAACCAAACAGTGAATATACACACACACACACACACGTGCACGCACACACACACATCCTGTACACAAGTGTCTCCAGCAGCATTCTTTATGGCAGCCAAAAAAATGGAAACAACTCGAATGTCCAAAACTCACACATAGATTAAAAAGAAGTCTGTCTGTACAATGGAGTATTATTCAGTCATAAAAAGAAATGATGTACCAATTCATTTTACAACACATGTAAACCTTAAAAATAATATGCTAAGTGAGAAAAACAAGATCAAAGGATGTGTTTTGTATGATCCCATTTATATGAAATGTCCAGATTAGGAAATCCTTTGAGCCAGATATTAGACTAGTGTTTATCAGGTTTGGGAGTCAAAGGGAATGGGGAATGCCTACTAATGCAGTACAGGGGTTTCTTTGGTGTGAAAAAAAATGTTTAAAAGTAGGCAATGGTTACACAACTGTGGATATGCTAAAACCACTGCACTGTATGCTTTAAAGGATTAAATTTTATGATATGTAACTTATATCCCAATAAAGCTGTTATTTCAATACATATGCTGTTGTTTTAAATTTTAAAGGATAATAGTTGGACTAAACAGCATAATGGATCTATTATGCACAGCTGAAGTGAGAAATAAAGTGCTGACGGATCTAGGGAAGATTATCAAGGATCCACTGCAGGGAAATAAAGAGAAATATGATAGGAGAGACAGAGCCTGAGACAGGGAGACGGGAAAGGCAAATTGCAACATGATGATGAGATTTACAAAATAAAGAATAAAGAGAAGGTAGAAAAGACAATACTTAAAAAGAAAGCATATTTTGTGACTTACATTTTTTTTTCAAAAAACAGGCCTACACCTCATCCTCACTTGCATAGCCATCAAATTCACACTGTCCTCATCACTTCATGTTTCTTCAAGCACAGGCTCCTCCTAAAGTGTTGTGTTTTACAACTGCATGTTTACATACACAATCCGCACCATCGTATGTTCACATCTTCCCTCAGCAAAATATAAGTATCATCTACTCAGCTGCGATGATTTTCTTTATGAACAACAATGGTCTTCTCTTTCTGTTCTGTCCTCATTGTTTTGCTCCCGTTTGTAACCCCTTAATATACAATTCTGCTTTTCATTAAAAAGTATCAGACATAAAATTTCTTGGATTTAGCGCTGCTGTAGACAGGTTCACAAAATTTCCCTCTCTCAGTAGTTTTTTCTGTTATCATTTTTCAAGCTTTGCGCTGGCTCTGGGAACCAGCTCCTGTGAGGGTGAAGGCAGATCCAAGGATGTGTGTCTTAGAGTCTGTGTTTACGTGGTGGCAAAGGTGGGAACCCCGAGGGTCTATTTCATATTCACGACCTGGATCAGAGTCCTACCCATTTGCTTGGACACTTCAGCATCAACTGCCACCTGACTCCCCCAGTGTGTCATGTGTCCCTGAACTATTCCTCCTGCAGATGCAGGGAAAGCCGCAGATCCAGTGTCATGATGGAGCCATTCCCCACAGAGTCATCTGCGTCACTTGTCATCCCACCTTCCACCAATTGACACTGGGCTCTCTGGAAAGAAGTGCCTCAGTTAACTATCAGATTTTCTTGGTTTTAGGGCACAACTGTGTTCCCATTGCTCTCCTCTGTTTTGTACGACAGTAAAGAGTTTACGAACCCACAAAGGTTTGATCCGAACCATTTTCTGGATGAAAATGGCAGCTTTCGGAAGAGTGACTTCTTCATGCCTTTCTCTATTGGTAAATAAAACTCCACATTTCCGGCCATCTATCAATTTAATTCATTAAAATGGAATCACAGATAAATCAATTCAGTATATTTTAAAATATAGTTTGTAATAAAATGATTGTGAAATGATTTTCACTTGCCCCTGAAATACATGGCCATCTACAATAAAAACAATGTAAAAATCGAATTATTCTTGTGCGCATGTGAAAATAATCTCTAGATGATGAAAGAGGCCACCCTCCAGCTCAACATGAACTTTTCTGAAAATGGTATTTCTGTCACTTCCCTCTGGTACCTGGAGATGATCACTGGGCGGCTTCCCGTCCTGTCATCCTGACAGGTGACCAGGTTCCAGCCATCTTTGGAGGGCAAAGAACAAAAAGAACTCTGGACGATAAAATTTCCATTTTCCTTTGTCAGTCTTCACAAAAGTCAATTAATGAAATGATTTTTGCTTCCAGGAAAACGGGCATGTCTTGGAGAAGGTCTTGCTCGAATGGAGGTATTTTTATTCCTGACCACCACTCTGCAGAATTTTACCTTAAAGCCTGCTGTTGATCAAAGGGAGCTGAACATTGACCCGATGTGTAATGGATTCTTGAGCATCCGTCAGTCTTTCAAGCTCTGCTTCTTACCCAGATTGAAATAAAAGACAAACCAGAGGAAAGCAGAACAGTCTCGGCCTACCCGTGGCCACCAGCATCTCTGGTTAAAATCCCTGCAAGATCTATTTCCTCAACGTGATCAGAACTCACATAGAGTAGATGCCCGCTGGATACTAAGTAAGTGCTGGCGCCAACGACTTCAGTCCTATGTATGACAGGTTTTAACTGGGTGTGACCGTCATCCACAGGCCTCTTTATAACATGGAAGATATTTGCTGGCATGAGTGCCCCTCACTGAACGAGAGCTGTTAGGAAAATATGAGTTCCACTTCCACCAAGCTGTAGAAAGCTCAAGAGTGTTGCCCTCCTGACAAGAAAGAGCCGGACAAAGCACCGGTCAAAGTGGCCTTACCTGAAATCCCAGGCGGGGCAGAACTCTGCAAGGGGGGAGGAGAGGAAGCCGTCACCTGCACAGGGAGAAGTCTGCCCCAATGTTAATGAATTGCCAGAGCCCAAGTCTGGGCAGGAAGAGCTGGGGGGCTTGGACAGGAAAGAGAAGGGGCCTTCATTCGCTCGCCAGCTTGCAGGACAGATGGGGTCGGCCAAAGCCGGGGGACAGTGCTCTCCGTGATGTGGACGGGCCTGAGGGCCTGAGCTGCAGGGCCTGGAGAAACCACCACCCACCTGACCTTTGTTCCTCAGGACAAGAAAGCCTTAAGCTGTTGGGGAAGGGCAGGCAAGGACCAGGGCTGCTGGGGACAAACAGGAAGCAAAGTCCTGAGCCCCTGAGGACAGGTAGGAAGCTCTACTGCAACCAAGCCCCGAGGCTGAGGGGGATGTGAGGCAGACATCTCCCCCTCCCCCCAGGCAGGCTGGGCAGCAGAGGAGGGCGGGACAGGAGCATCCTACCCAGGTGGGAGAGCCTGCACAGGGCTGAGGGTCAGCAGGACACAGAGGGTCCCCTGCCCCTCTCACCTTGAGCCCAGAACCCGTCAGCAGCCATCTGCTGCTCTACAGAGGCAAGAACAATGGAGAAGTGGCTGAAAGCTGAGTGTGGACACCTGGGCTGAGAAAGGCCTCCCGGCACCCCAGCCTCTGCCCCGTGCCCAAGGCAGTGAGATGACTCCCTTGGAGAAATGTGAAGTCTTGGCATAAAAGAAGTAATGATAACAACAAATCCCAAATTTAGCTCATCTCTTGTCTGGATTGTTTCAACTTTCCACATCAATGGCCTGACAGAGTAACAGTCATGCCGGTTTCCAGGATAATTATGATTTACCTCAGTTTTTCCTGCACCCACATGGTGTTCAGCATTGAATTTTAAAAATTATACACACAAAATAGCAAGGAAAAAAACTACCACAATCAAGAAATGAAGAGATCAATAGGATCAGTTCACAGATGACAGAGATTTTGGATCTCCCAGACGAGGGCCTTAAAATCTTCATGATTAGTGTGTTCAAAGATCTAGTGGAAGGTGGAAAACATGCGTGAGAAGATGGAAGAGCAGAGTGATGGGAAGTATAAAAACAGAATCAGGGAAATTGCTGGAAATAAACATCATGACATCAGCAATGAAAACCCTTACATCCGCATCAGTTGACTCGGCGGAGGAGAGACCTGTGGTTAGTACCTGGTATGCTCTTTCTAATACTGGATCCTTTTCACATCCCCATACTTAATGTCTTCATCCTATAATAAAGTCTGATAATGTTCAAGTTAATTTACTAGAATATGGTGTTTTTTTTTTTAAAAAAATATTGTTTTATGACTTTAAAAGCATATGGGGGGGGGGTGCCTGGGTGGCTCAGTCAGTTAAGCACCTGACTCTTGGTTTCAGCTCAGGTCATGATCCTCAGGGTCGTGGGAGCGAGCCCCATGTCAGGCTCTGCACTCAGCGGGGAGTCTGCTTCTCCCACCCCCTCTGCCCTCCCCCCACTCATGTACACACACACACTCTCTCTCTCAAAATAAATAAAATCTTCAAAAAATAAAGTAAAAGCATATTGATGAAGAAACGGTCCAAGTGGGTCAAAGGTACAAACTTCCAGACATAAAATAAATACCTGGTGGGACATAATGTACAGAATGATGACTGCAGTTAGTAACACCATGTTGCAATAAGAGAGATGTCAAAAGTTGTTGTCATTAAAAAAATGAAGTATATGCAGTGACACTAGTAACTTGGAAGGCCAAAAAAAATGAAACCTAAATTTTGTAAACATGAGTGTATTCAGCCTTCAGAGGGAATCTGAGAACTTTCGGTTTCTGCGTACCGTCCTGGATGTCCCCAGCACCACTGTGGCTTGTCTTCATCAGCTCAGTGATGCCGGGTTCATACACAGAGCCAAGGCAGAGGCAGATGACAGGTAAGGGCGGGATTTTGAGCTCAGGGGCAGGGGCTAAAGTAGGGGTCAGAGATGAGGGTGAGAGTATAGGGCTGAGGGCAAGACTGAGGGATTGCGTCCCAGGCTTGTTCTCGAGACGCTCTTTGAGGCCACGTCCCATCGCCCACGCTGCCTGACTCGCCGCACACCTGGTCCCCGCCTGTGATTCCCACACTCTCGGGAGCCAAGCTCACTGAGGACAGAGCAGCACGGAGAACCCCAGGGCTCGGCCGCCGTGCCTTCTTGTCACGCCCCAGGGAAGCTGCTGGGAATGTCCAACCCTAATCTGAGAAATGAGGGCAAACACCTGGTGAACAGCTGGCGAGCGTCTGCCCAAAGCTCAGGCCGGAGACCTCAAGGCCTCATGGAGAAGCCTGGCACCCCTGCCCCCCTGTGGACGTGCCCTCCAGGCCAGCTGTGCTCTGCCCTGTGGAGGTGGGGACACAGGCCGCCTGGGGTCTTGCTTTCCTGAGCCTCTGCTGTCCTCGGCCGCGGGCACCTGCCTGCCCATCTGGGCCCTTGCACAGGGCCGCGCAGGGGAGGGAGGTTCCCAGGGCGCTGCCAGAGCTGCGGGCACACCTAGGGCAGCCTGGGTCCAGCGCGGCCGCCGCGTGTCTCCCCAGAGCAGGCTCCGGGGAGCCAGGGGCTGACGTCCAGCCTAGGAGCTTGGGGACCCTGCCCAGTGCCCACGTGGAAACAGGCTGGACGGCCCTTCCCTGGGCATCGGGAATAATGGGGAACACGCCCGCTTGTGGTTCAAGGGCTGAAGAGTGTGGCGGCCGGTGCCTGTCCGTGTCCCCAGCGGGAGCCGGGCCTCTCCGCCACCCTTGCAGAGGGTGGGCAAGCAGCCGAGCAGGGCGCTCGCAGGCACACGGTGTAGCCGGCTCCACGCGGTCACACTCGCAGATGCTACACCTGTGCACTTGCTCTGTGGCAAGGCCCCACGGAGCCAGCCTTTGGCCCCATTTTTCCAATAGCAATTTTTCACTTTGTGTCTCTGTGTCACATTTTAGTCATTCTCATAGTATTTCAAACTTCCTCATTATTATATTTCCTTGGTGATCGGTGATCATGTGATCTTTGATGTTACTACTGACCCCCCCTACTCCCCGACACAAGCAGGGGATGGAGAGTCTGCCAGGGGAAGCCCCTACCGTCCCCCTGGGTGTTCACGGAGGAGTCACACGTCTCTCACTTTGAGTCACAAGCTGGAAACGCTTCAGCCGCTTCAGCCGCCGGAGGGAAGCCACCAAGACCGACGCCTCGTGAGCCCAACACCCGGCTTGGAAGCAGAGATACCGCCCCTGAAGGAGTGACCCCAGGTCACGGGCCTGGAGCCTCGTCACTGGGTCCGAGCAGAGGTGCGAGCGCGGCTCCAGCTTCCGCAGCGCCTCCCTCTGGTCCCCCTTCCACCAGCAGCCCCCCAACTCCGCTCTCTCTACCCCCCCCCCCCGCCCCGTCCCGAAGACCCCAGACGCTCCGGGGCTGTTATCGCTAACGCTGCACGGGCCTCCCTGGCTCCCTGCTGTCTGCCTCCCCCGCGTCTCTCAGCTCCTGCTGCGACTCTAACCCCTGCGGCGGGGCCACCCGCCCCTCCCCCCACCTCCCCTCCCGCGGGGCCACCCGCCCCTCCCCTCCCCTCCCCGCCTGGACTCGACCGTCTCCGCCCCTCCCGGCCCCTCCCCCGCCCCTCCCGGCCCCTCCCCTTCCCGCCCCGCCCCTCCCTTCCCCGCTGGGACTCGGCAGTCTCCGCCCCTCCCCGCCCCTCCCCCTCCCCGCCCCTCCCCTCCCGGCCCCTCCCCGCCCGGACTCAGCCGTCTCCGCCCCTCCCGGCCCCTCCCCCTCCCGGCCCCTCCCCTCCCGGCCCCTCCCCGCCCGGACTCAGCCGTCTCCGCCCCTCCCGGCCCCTCCCCCGCCCCCCCGCCCCTCCCCACCTTTACTCGGCCGTCTCCTTCCCGCCCCGCCCCTCCCCGCCGCGCCCCTCCCCTCCGGGACTCGGCCGGCCCCTCCCCGCCCCTCCCCTCCCTCCCGCCGGGACTCGGCCGCCTCCGCTGGGTTCTGCGGTAGCTCCGTTCTCTCTCTGGATCCCTTTGAGTTCAGGGTTCGGAAGGCGGTGCCCCGTCCTCCCCCCGCTCTGCCCCATGCTGCAGCCTGCAGCCGTGTAGCCCCTTACTGTCCCTCTTTCTCGGCTCGCAGAGTTTGGTCATGTTTCCGTGCGCGGAGCTGCCTTGTCCCAGATGCTGGCGAAGGGCACAGGGGCACGCCCCGCGGAGCTTGCGAGGTCACCTGGGTCTGAGCCCAGACCCTGGGAGGGCGAGGACGGCTCGCCGCTGGGGCCTGTCTGCCCGCTTACTTTCGGGGGCCCCACTAACGCGGAAATGCCGCGGGGTGGCCAGGGGCCAAGGACCCCGACGTCGGCGCGGAGACTCTGGTCTCGGACTGGGACCCCAGAAGGCTGAAGGGATACACCTGTGTTGCCTCCGCCATCCCGACCGTGGGGATTTCTTACAGCAGCCGCAGGAAACCAGAGCTCCTCGCACTTCACACCCCCGACTTGTGGCGCGGCTGTTCCCAACCGCGAGCACTGGTTTCCGCGGAGCCGTCGGATCTTCGGACAAACACACCGTCCTGGTGATGATATTGATCCCGCTGGGTGATTGTGTTGGGGTTGCTGTTTGGCACCCCACTGCGGGGAGGAGAGAGGGTCAGTGCTTTGGCTAGAGTTACCACTTTCGTCTTGACTTGAGTAGGACTTGTTGTCTTGCTTGGGTTTCTTGCCTCCTTTGTTTTGTATTCCTCCCTCCCCCTCGAAAAGAGCTCAGATAGGAGTTTGTGTTCGCGGTTGATTTGGGAAGTGATGGCAAAAAGCAACAATGAAGAAGTGCAGAAAACACGACAGGGGAGGAGGAGAAGCCAGTAAAGTATGTGTTGCTGAGCTGGTGACCACTGTGAACAAGCTGACATTCATCCTGTGGGGCATTTTGTAAAAAGCTAGTCCATGTATCTCAGCTGACCCACTGAGGCAGGAGAAGCGAGACTCCTTGAACTCCTCATGCAGTGGGTGAAGGAGCTCCCTTAGCTTTGGAAAAAACCGCGAGGCTGAATCATGTGGAGACAAGGTGGAGACGCGCTGAGACTCTGTGTGAGAGGGATGATCTCCCCCTCTACAACCAGGCTGAGGGATGTAGCCAAGGGCACCAATGGATCATGCTTGGTGCTGTATAAACACTTCCATACCCCATACTGAGGCTCCTTTTGCTTGACTTTTCAAGGCAGTGGCTGGCAGCAAACTAAAATAAAACATAATAGGATGGTTGGTGTTAAAAGCCACAGTTCCTGCTGATTCTAGGGGCCCCAAGACTGTAATTGGCATTTATTATGTCCTCTATGGCTCTTGTAAATTTTATTTTTTTACTTTACATTTTTAATTGAAGTTCGATTTGCCAACATATAGTATAACACCCAGTGCTCATCCTGTCAAGTGCCCCCTTCAGTGCCTGTAACCTAGTCAACCCTCCCCTCACCCACTTCCCTTTCCATTACCCCTTGTTCGTTTCCTAGAGTTAGAGGAGTCTCTCATGTTCTGTCTTCCTCACTGATATTTCCCACTCATTTTCTCTCCTTTCCCCTATAATCCCTTTCACTATTTCTTATACTTAATATCTCTAAAAACTCATATGTCCCAGAATGCATATATTTACAAATACTAGAACAAAAATTTGTTTGATGTTTTTTTATATTTCTTCTGCATTATCTACTAAATTGTATAGTGTATCATGGTGGCTTTTCCCCCCAATTGCTTGTTGAACTTTTATAATATAAACAGTTCTTCAAGTTATTGTCAGGTGTAGTTTTCAGCATTTGCTATAATTTTACCCACTTAATAAACATGTGGATGATTATTACAGAATTTAAAGTTTTTAAAATTATAGTAACCCAGAGCATGATAGCACCTGCAAAACTTTAAAGCACATAAATGACTCATTCATATAACACTGACAACTGATTGAGCTTAATCTTGTTTGTTAACCTGTGTGTCATTACTCTGTGGAAATTGCAAAGTTCAAAAGTCACTGAGCGTCCAGGTTTGAAACTTATATGATTCCTGGAGGGGCTTTCAGCACAATAGTGTGAGGAACTCCACTGACCTGCTCCCTATCCAAACTGTAAAAGTTGTAAAACAAAACAAAACAACCATTTAAAGTCTGAGGAATGTCTATGTTTTCCTCTGTGAGATTTATGTTCATGTCTCTTGCCCATTTCATGATTGGTTTGTTTGTTTCTTTGCTGTTGAGTTTAATAAGTTCTTTATAGATCTTGGAAACTAGCCCTTTATCTGATACGTCATTTGCAAATATCTTCTCCTATTCTGTAGGTTGTCTTTTAGTTTTTTTGACTGTATTCTCTGCTGTGCAAAAGCTTCTTATCTTGATGAAGTCCCAATAGTTCATTTTTGCTTTTGTTTCTTTTGCCATCATAGATGTATCTTGCAAGAAGTTGCTGTGGCCGAGTTCAAAAAGTGTGTTGCCTGTGTTCTCCTCTAGGATTTTGATGGAATCTTGTCTCACATTTAGATCTTTCATCCATTTTGAGTTTATCTTTGTATAAACCCTCTAGTGAAAGAGAGTGGTCTAGTTTCATTCTTCTTCATGTGGATGTCCAATTTTCCCAGCACCATTTGTTGAAAAGACTGTCTTTCTTCCAGTGGATAGTCTTTCCTCCTTTATCGAATATTAGTTGACCATAATGTTGAGGGTCCACTTCTGGATTCTCTATTCTGTTCCATTGATCTATGGGCCAACAAGCACATGAGAAAATGCTCTGCATCACTGGCCATCAGGGAAATACAAATCAAAACCACAATGAGATACCACCTCACACCAGTGAGAATGGGGAAAATTAACAAGGTAGGAAACCACAAATGTTGGAGAGGATGCGGAGAAAAGGGAACCCTCCTACACTGTTGGTGGGAATGTGAAATAGTGCAGCCACTCTGGAAAACTGTGGAGGTTCCTCAAAGAGTTAAAAGTAGACCTGCCCTATGGCCCAGTGCAATTGCTGGGGATTTACCCCAAAGATACAGATGCAATGAAATGTCGGGACACCTGCACCCTGATGTTTATAGCAGCAATGTCCACAATAGCCAAACTGTGGAAGGAGTCTCGGTGTCCATCGAAAGTTGAATGGATAAAGAAGATGTGGTTTATGTATACAATGGAATATTCCTCAGCCATTAGAAATGACAAATACCCACCATTTGCTTCAACATGGATGGAACTGGAGGGTATTTTGCTGAGTGAAATAAGTCAATTGGAGAAGGACAAACATTATATGGTCTCATTCATTTGGGGAATATAAATAATAGTGAAACAGAATAGAGGGGAAGGGAGAAGAAATGGGTAGGAAATAGCAGAAAGGGAGACAGAACATGAAAGACTCCTAACTCTGGGAAACAAACTAGGGGTGGTGGAAGGGGAGGAGGGGTGGGGGTGACTGGGTGGCGGGCACTGAGTGTGACAATTGACGGGATGAGCACTGGGTGTTATTCTGTATGTTGGCAAATTGAACACCAATAAAAAATAAATTTATTATTAAAAAAATAAAGTCTGAGGAATTAGTTCCAAGGATATATAGTCAGTGAAGACATATTAACTGGCTAGGAACTCACTGAACTACAATTAAGATAAACACGAAGAAATCCACAGACACATCACTATAAAAATGCTGAATCTTAATGCCAAGGAAGAAATCTAAGGAGAAGAAAAATAGAAAAATGAAAACCTTTATACTTAAAAAGGAAACTTTTTACAATGTAAGGAAACTCCAAAAAGATTAACAATGAACTCAGCAGAAACAATAGAGGTCAGAAGGAATTGATATAACATTCAAATTGCTCAAAGGAAAAAACTGTCAACCAAGAATCCTATATCTATCAACACTATTTTTAAAAAATGAAGATGATAGAAAGACATGCTCATATAAACAAAACTGAGAAAATCTGTTGCTAGCAGACCTGCTTTACAAGAAATATAAAGAGAAATTATTCAAGATGAAAGTAAATGACCCCAGAGAGTACTTTGAATATATGTCCCCCAAAAGTGGGGACAGGCACTAGGAAAGGTAATTGGAAAACTATAAAAGAAAGTATAAATGAACATTTTTTTCTATTTTCTTCGTTTAATTGATTTAAAAGCACTGTATAAAACAGTATGTATATAATGTATTTTTGGGCCTGTAATGTGTGAAAATATATTTGCCTACAGCAGTATAATGGAGGTCAGTGGGAGAGAAGATGTATTGTGATAAGAAAATGCCTCCAGATGGAAAATTGAGTCTATAAGAATAAATGAAGAGAACCATAAGTAATAAATAAGCTTAATACATAAATCTGTAAGTAAATCCTTGCTCTTTTCTCAATGTCTTTAAAAATATAAAGTTATATTATGTAAAAATTATAACAAAACTTTGTTTAGTTTGTAGTATTTATAGATGTAATATGTATTACAATAGTACCTCAAAAAAAAGGGTGAGACGGATATAGAGATATATAGAAATAATGTTTTTATATATAACTACAACTAAGTTGGTATGAATCTAAATCTGATCCTGATAAGTTAAGGTGTATACAATAAACCAAAGATCACTAAGGAAAAAGCTATAAAACATAGATAGTGAAAAAAAATCAATGAAGTTATGTAAATGCTACATATAAAAACATTATTTTTTTTTTTTGCAAAAGAAAGCAGGAGGGATAGAGGAATGAAAAAAGATATTAGAGGGGATCCCTGGGTGGCTCAGTGTTTCAGTGCCTGCCTTTGGCCCAGGGCGTGATCCTGGAGTCCCGGGATCGAGTCCTGCATCAGGCTCCCGGCATGGAGCCTGCTTCTCCCTCTGCCTGTGTCTCTGCCTCTCTCTCTCTCTCTCTCTCTCTCTCTCTCTCTCTTGTAAATAAATTCTTTAAAAAAAAGAAAAGAAAAAAGATATGAGAAGCATAGAAAAAAGTAAAATTGCAAGTAAAAACCCAAATATATCAATAAGAACATTAAGTATGAATGGATTAAAGAATCCAATCATAAAGTAGAGATTGTCAGACTTGATAAATAACAAGATGTATGTCTATGTTGGATACAGGAGTCATATTTCAGATTCAAAGATAACATGTATTAAAAAGGTTAGGAAAGTAAATATAATTTGAACAAAAATCCACAAGAATGTCATACTAAAGTGGTCATACTAATCTTAGACAGAATAGACTTTAAAACAAAAAAAATATTAAGAGATGAAGAGGGTCATTTTATAATGAAAAATTGTCGGGCCATGAGGAAGATGTAGCAATAATAAACATATAGGCACCTAATGACAGAATACCAAAATACATGTAAGAAAAACAGACAGAAATAAAGGGAGAAATAGAAAATTCAGTGACAATTGTTGGAGACTTCCATACCTCATTAATAATGAATAGAATAACTAGGCAAAAGAATAACCAAAACATAGAGTCAAACAACATTATAAACAAACTAGATTTAACAAACAGGTCCAGAACAATCCATTCATTAAAAGCAGAATAAACATTCTTCTCAACTGCCCATAAACATTCCTCAAGAAAAACTGTACACTAAGCCACAAAACAAACCAGAATGTATATAAAATCATTGAAATAATACAAAGCATATTCTCCAATCACAATTAAGTGGTCTTCATAATTTAAAACAAAGTAGAAAGGGAAACTCACAAATATTTTGGAAATTAACAAACCTCAAAATTACTATTTGTCAAAGAAATCAAAAAGGAAATTAGAAGGCATACTGAAATAACTGAAAATTAGGATCCAACCTATTAAGATTCATGGGAGGCAACTACAACAGTACTTGGGTGCTAGTTTATTCCAATGAAAGTCTATATGACCAAAGAAAAGAGATTTTGAATCTCTTTGAATGGAATCTTCCACCTTAATCTGATCAATAGCAAGTAGAGGATGGAAATAAAGTTGAGAACAAAAGGAAACAAAACAGAGAATAGAAAAACAAAAGAAAAAAATAAAAGAATCCAAAAGCAGGTTCTTTGAAAAGGTCAACAAAACTGACAAACAATAGGTAAATTGACCAAAAAATAGAGAGAAGACTCAACTTGCTAAAATGAAAGATGAGACACTACTACAGACCTTACAGAAATTAAACAGTTTTAAAGGAATTATATGAACAATTGACACCCCTAAATTAGATAATTTAGATGACATGGATAAGTTCATAAAATACCCAAAATACCAAAACTGACTTAAGAAAAAACATGTGAATGAATCTGTAACAACCAAAGAGATTGAATTAGTAACTTAAAAGTTCACACCAAGAAACGCCCAGGTCTAGAACTTCACTGATGAATTAGCAAACATTTGAACGTTTGGGAGGGACCTAAAGGATCTTCAAATATCTCACAAATAGGTGTTTAAGAGAGAACTGTGAGATCGAGGAGACTGAGAAAGGAGGGCTAGGGATTCCAGAGTCTGAGAAAAGAAAGGAATGGGAAAGTAAAGGCTGAGGTTCCTGGGTCTGCATACTATAGCCAATGGGCAATTGCAGGATCATAAAAGATACATGAATTGCACAGTGGAGGTCATCGTTTAGGAAAAGGGAAAACCAGAGATAAGTCACATAGGTCATGGGCCAGACCATCAACCACCATCCCTACCACTGAAGTCCACATCAACCCAATCACAAAAACCCATTGTATCCCTCTTTCTAGAATGCAGCAGTGACAGCAAAAAGCAGTGTGTTGAATTTGTTTACTGTGTCACAGAAACTAGGGAGTTCCGGGAGCCCCATGTTTAAATCCAACTCCCAGGAAAATAGATAAAGACTCTGATAAAATTTATGAATGGAGAAATTATTGGAGTTTCTTGGCAAGTAATTACTAGACACTGGAAATGTAAATTTTCTCTGCTTGGAGGGCACTCAGTCTATATCCAATTATTTTATTCCTGTATATACACTAAAGGAAGTTTTCCAACAGTGGAATAGCAACCTTCGATGGCTTAGAAGTTATTTCAGTGGGTGAGAATAGCATCTATTTATGAGGCTGCTTCATGCCGGCTAAGAATGCACTTGAACGAGTATCTACTTAATGGGTTCATAGGGTATTGGTGTCCAGTGTTTAGACGAACTGCTCCATGACGTTGCTGCCTCCGCATTCATTTTGTGTGGTCAGGGGGCATGCTGGGACCTCATACTAACACTAGCCCTGCCCTAGATAACAATCTGCAGAGGCTCAATGCCAAAGTCTGATGTGATGTTCTGCAGCAGGCCTTCCTGGTCCTGCCAGAACCTTCACCTCGTAATTCCCTTAGGTAAGGGACCCCATGGACCATACCAAAATTCCACTCTTTTAGGTTCGAAGCGACCCACGTGAACTTGGCTTTGGAACTCCAAACAAGTCAAGGGAGGATGATAAGGAAGGCCTGCGCTCCAGGTTCTACTGAACTTCTCTGCCCGCACCCCGTCTTGTCCTCGCCTTGCAGCATGAGGTACAGTTCCTCCAACCTGTGAGTAATGAACCTCTCTTTTTCACTTTCCAGTGTAGGCTTTTAATGAACATTGGTTCGCCAAACCAAACGTCACGATCTGCTTTAAAAATATTAGTCTACGGGGATCCCTGGGTGGTGCCGCGGTTTAGCGCCTGCCTTTGGCCCAGGGCGCGATCCTGGAGTCCGGGATCGAGTCCCACGTCGGGCTCCCGGCATGGAGCTTACTTCTCCCTCCTCCTGTGTCTCTTACTCTCTCTCTCTAAGTCTATCATGAATAAATAAATACATATTTTAAAAAAATACTAGTCTAACAAAGTAACAAGAGCTGCCGTATCTGCTTTTAAAGTTCTTTAACGAAATGCAGACATTGTGCTATTTCACTATTCATGATTTAGGAAGCAAGTGGAAAAAAATACCCCAGTGAATTCTAGAACTATATTATCATTGTACGACTAACAAAGCTGACATTTCATGTGATGGAATATTTCCGCTATATCAGAATTTTACCATTTTCCCAGGACTTCACAACTAACCAGAACCCCGTTTCCGCCACGTGGGTAGAGACCCCGTCACACCCCCACCCGTCACAGCCGCCGGGGCGCTGGACGCGTCACTTCCCAAGCTGCTAAGGGACGCAGCGCAGAGGCTTGTGGGAAATGTAGTCCGCGAGGGGTTTCCCGCGCGGGACTCTGGGCGTCTTCCGGGGTCCCCCCGCCCACTGCGGCCCCGCCCCTCTTCCGCCCGGAAGTTCCGCTCCCCGCCGGGTCCCGGCGCCCTGGGTTCGTTGCCGCCGCGGGCTCTGGCCTGCGCTGCGCGTCCCTGAAGGTCGGTGCGAGTGCGGACGGCGACGGCGGGCCCTGGGCCTGGCGGCTCGGGACCTGGGCCCGCGTGGTGCGGCGGCCGGGCGCGCGGGCGGTGGAGCGGAGCGCGGGGGCCGCTGGCCGGGTCGGCCCGACTCGCAGGGGGCGTCGGGGGCGGCTGGCTGCGGGCTCCCAGCGCCGCTCGGCCCGGGACGGGAGCCGGACCTGGGCGCCGCCCGCCGCGGAGCAGAGGCGCAGGAGCCCCGGGGCACGAGCTGGGAGGTGCGCACCCGCCGTCGGAGCCCCGGGCCGGGCGGAGCCGGGCGGGCCCAGGCCTGGGAGGCGCCCGGCGGCCCGAGCGGCAGAAGCCGCGTGCCCGGCTCGCGACGCCCCCTTCGCGTTTCCCTCCCCGCAGCCTCTGAGCCGGAGCCCGAGCCCGGAACGTCGGCCCCGCGGGGCTGCCGGGCTCGTCGCTCCTGCCGCCCCGAGGCCAGGGCACGTGCTTGCTTCTGACGTCGTTTCCGATAATGCAGCCAACGTAGAGCAGCCGCTTCTGAGAAGGACTCGCCGAAACGTGCGCATCCCGTTGCCGCGTGGCTTTGCCCGCCTCGTGTGCTCCGGGCCCCGTGTACTCTAGGCCTTGTGTGCTCCGGGCCCCGTGTGCTCCGGGCCTCGTGTGCTCCAGGCCTCGTGTGCTCCAGGCCCCGTGTGCTCCGGGCCTCGTGTGCTCCAGGCCCCGTGTGCTCCGGGCCTCGTGTGCTCCGGGCCCCGTGTGCTCCGGGCTCCGTGTGCTCCGGGCCTCGTGTGCTCCAGGCCCCGTGTGCTCCGGGCCTCGTGTGCTCCGGGCCCGTGTGCTCCGGGCTCCGTGTGCTCCGGGCCCCGTGTGCTCCGGGCCCCGTGTGCTCCGGCCCCGTGTGCTCCGCGCTCCGTGTGCTCCGGGCCTCGTGTGCGCCGGCCCCGTGTGCTCTAGGCCTTGTGTGCCCCGGGCTCCGTGTGCTCCAGGCCTCGTGTGCTCCGGGCTCCGTGTGCTCCGGGCCTCGTGTGCTCCGGGCTCCGTGTGCTCCGCGCTCCGTGTGCTCCGGGCCTCGTGTGCTCCGGGCTCCATGTGCCCCGGGCTCCGTGTGCTCCAGGCCTCGTGTGCCCCGGGCGTCCGTAATCCGGGGGCTTCGCCCTGAGCGCCAGGGATCTGTGAAGGCCGTAAATTCCTCCGCACAACGTCAGGAGAGCGTTTTGCGTTTTCCAGTGTGTAAAATGGGAGAATGCGACTGCATTACCTTCCCGGCTAGACTGCTGTTTAGGGCACAGATACAGCGCAGCTCGTGCCTAATGGGGGTCAGCAGAGGCCCCTGGCAGAGCGAAGGACACAGTCGTCTGAGATGCGGCCGGGCTCCGGGCGACTCCCTGGCCTCTCACCTCCAGCAGCCTCACTGAAGTCCACCAAGTGCACCTTCCTTACGCTGTTCACAAGTTCTGGGTGTGGTTGTCAGGTTCTGGTGATGGTATGTGTAATTCGACTTGCCCCTGTGTGATTTTACTAAGGACATACTGAGTTTGGGGGTTTAGATGTATCCCTCTAAGCACGGGCTGGGGGACAGGCCAACCAGATTTAGCGACTGTAAGCAGCAGTCCTCTTTTTTTGTTGAAGTCCTGTGGCTCCGCACCTGGGGCTAGGGTCACATGATCAGGTCCTGTGCTAGTGTTTGCCTGGTTCACGATGGAGGACATAGTCCTCTGGTGCCATGACTAAGCTTGGTGGTTGGTGGAAGAGGACTTTGTTTACTGTTTTTGGTGGTTCATGCTGGCTGTGGCCAAGCCACATGTCCCTACCAGGTGAGCCCCAGGTGTCTTCCAAGATGATAGTGGTCCAAGGAGGTAGGTAAGCTCTCGTGGAAGAGTGCCCTTCATCCTGTGTTGGGGTCACGTGTGCTGAGGTGCTCTAGACGAAAGCAAGTCAGATGGTAAAGCCCAGGTCAGTGTTGGAGGTGATGAATACAGGGGACCACAACAGACCCCACCATGTACCTTACGTATATCTTTTCCTATAAAGTCATAGGCCAAAAGTGTTGTGTGGCAGGATGTGTAATTTCTGTGAAGATGAGGTATTTAAACCACAGGTGTCCTCACAGAGACACCACTGTCAAGCCCTGTGTGTAATGTCTCTATTAATAGGAGCATGGCTAAACAACCATTATTTTAATAAACATATTCAAAATCTTTTTTTTAAAGAATTTATTTAGTTATTCATGAGACACACAGAGAGAGGCAAAGACACAGGCAGAGGGAGAAGCAGGCTCCCTGCAGGGAGCCCGATGTGGGACTTGATCCCGAGACCTAAGATCTCGCCCTGAGCCGAAGGCAGATGCTCAACCACTGAGCCACCCAGGCGTCCCATATCTTCAAAATCTTAAATTGATTCTTACTGTTACTGACAATAAATCAGTGGGAAATATGTGTTTTAATTAACTAAGGATATACCGTATGTGTAAATTCATGAGTTTGTGGGTATTCCTTCAATAGGATCTTTCCTGCCCTTTTTCCAGGTGTAAAATACTCTTGTCCCAGAGAAGTCTGGCGGGCTCTCAGTCCCCTCTCAAGCTCTCTCACTCTCTCTCTCTCTCTCTGTCAGTTGTCTTTTCTAGCTGCTGTGTAGAGAGCTTCCGACCAGTGAATCCAGGATCTGGGAGCAAGCCACAGCAGTCTTGTCATGACTCTAGTCCATTCGCCTTCTCTCCCAGCTATTTTTCCAGAGTCCTCTATGCTTTTCCAAGAGCAGCAGAAGATGAATACATCTCTGGTGAGTGGTTTGTGTGTTTATTTGTTTGGTGGTCCCTTAGTTTGTTTTACGTGGTGCTTGATGAGGAAGGGGTCATCCTTTAAATAGAAAAGTAAAAATAAGTGAAAATGCATCTTCAGGAAGATACACATAAACACGATAAAGGTGCCATGTGGATATGGGCAGGTTATGTGACCTTAGAGTCATCCAAGGTGAGTACACATTGGTCTCTGGTCTTTCTGATGCTGTGGCATCAGACACACATTGGTTATGTCTTTTAGGAGAGAGCGTGCCATGTTGTCATGGGACATGAAAACTTGCGGGCACAGAAGTCTGAAGTGGTGTCTGTTGGTCACACGGATGAGGTAGTGGACAGTGTTGCACTACCAATCTGGAAATAAACACTCCAGCACTCTGCAGTGGTGATGGCTACTGGTGCAAAAACACAACTTGCCTGATAAGGTTTGCTAAAATAGCATCCCAGACAACTTTTGGAAGGCCCTTCTCGATCCACGGCTGGCCCTTGGGATGTCTGCAGGACTGAGTCAACTGCAGGTCCTTTAAATCACTCTCCACATGTATCTCTCAGCCAGTCCGTCTGTGTAGGTTATGCATCAGACTGTTCAGAGTTGTGTTTTCTGACAAAGAGTTCCACGCCCCGTTTGTACCTTAACCTCTGCGGTGCCGTCTTAATTCATGTCTTCTAAGTGAAGAGGTAACCTACAGCCTGCATATCAACCCAGATTTTAGTTCATTTCAGTGACTGTGCTGTAGGCTTTGCCTTCCTTGCATCATCTGCGGCAGTGAAACTACTGTCTGGGATCTTCTCCTAGATATATTTTTTTTAAGATTTTATTTATTTATTCATGAGAGACACAGAGAGAGAGAGAGAGGGACAGAGACACAGGCAGAGGGAAAAGTGGGCTCCTCGAGGGGAGCCCAATGTGGGACTCCATCCCGGGACTCCAGGACCACGCCCTGAGCCAAAGACAGATGCTCAACCACTGAGCCCCCCCAGGTGTCCCTCTCCAGACATTCTTGTCTGTTAGCTTCTGTGGCGGCCTCCCTGATGATTTCTTCTCTTTGTGTCCGATCCTGAACATGGCTCATCCAAGTGTTCACGTCTGCGCTGCATTCACACACTGTATGGTTTTCCTTGACTTGCGTGGCCCTCTGTGCTGGGCAGTTTCTTTCTACAGCCTGGGCCTCTTCCCTCGCCCTTACTATGGGTTCAGCTCCCTGGTGAGTGACTTTTTTGATGCCATCCAGAAGGCACCTCAAACTGAGCGAGTCCCACCTGAAAACCATATCTTCCTTTCTTCTTTCATGGGTGATAGTTCTTCAATTCAGCCAGGGACTCAAAAGGCCAAAGTGGGGTTTCTGTACTCCTTTTTCTCTCCCACTAATCTCATCTGGCATCAGGATCTGGACAGATGTATAATATGATGATGTATCTGTATTTTAGTCACACACCATTGTAGTCATTTAGAGTAGCATCATTGTCCTAAAAATCTTCCGTGCTCCTTCCACTCCTTCTTCCTACTCATAGCCCTTGGCAACTGGTGTTGTTTTTATTGTCTTCGTAGTTTTGCCTTTTACAGAGTCTTATGTAGTTGGACTCACACTGTACATAGCCTTTCAAATGTGCTCATTTCACTTAACTAAGGTGCATTTATGTTTCTTCCTTTTTTTTCATGGCTTGATAGCTCATTTATCTTTAGTGCTGTGTAATATTCCATTGTCTGAATGTACCACATTTTCATGCATCCATTGAAGGACATTTTGGTCGCGTCCCAAGTTTAGGCAATTGTGAATAAAGCTGCAATACATCCATGTGCTGGTTTTTATGTGGACATGTTTTCAGCTCCTTTAAGTAAATACCAGAAGTGCAATTACTGGATTGTGTGTTGAAAGGTTGTGTTTACTTTTGAATCCAGTACCAAACTGTCTTCCAAATGGCTAAACCATTTTTATATTTTGATGTGGCAGCCATAGCAAATTAAAACACTGTGCTTCATTCCTTAACTTTTTTATTCATTACTGTATATAGTTTTATAATATGAATCTTTATCACAACATACTAGAGCAGTAGTGCCCTATTTCATACACCATAAAGGAACTTTAGAATAGTATAAATCTGTTTCCAACCCTATCACTTGTACTATCAATAGTATACATACATAGGTACATCTTGAGTCTGTACGTTATGTTTTCTTTAAAGGACCATGTATTTTATAGACACCAAAAGAAGAAAAACGTTTAATTATTTATGTTTACGTATACACTTGCCATTTCTAGTAATCTTGATTCTGTCTTATGGATCCATATTGTTATTTGGTGTCATTTTCTTTCAACCATGGAGAATGTCCTTTATCACTATAGTGCCATCTTTTGATGTGATGAATTATCTAGGTTTTGTTTATCTGAAAATGTTTTCATTTCACCTCAATTTTGTAGCATAAGTTTTCAGTGGATGTAGAATCATGGATTGAAGGATATTTCCTTTCACCACTTGAAAGATATTTTTTTCCATTGCTTCTGATAAGTCACTCATCATTCATATGTATTTTTATCTGAATGTGCTCTTCCTTCTATGGCTGCTTTCAAGTTTTTTTTTTTTATCCTTTGATAATGGCAGTTTGACTGTAATGTGCCTAGAGTAGTTTTTTATTAAGTTAATTATGGGTCATTGTAATTTTTAAGTTTGTAAATTACTATCATTTACAAAATTTGTGAAGGTTGTAGTAATTGTTTCTGAAAATACATAAATGCTCAATTCTTTCTTCTTTACTTATGGAACTCCAATTACATGTTGTTAGACTGTTGTTAAACTTGTTTTTAAACCTCGTTCCATTTTTCTTCATTTTCTTTCTCTGTGTCTCACAAAGATTAGAAAAATCTGTTGATCCATCTTCAAGTTCAGTGGCTTTCTTTTGCTGCTGTTTACAGCCTGAGGTAGGAAATTTCTACTGTGGTTTCTCTTTACCCCACAGTGCAGAGTACAGATCATGCTGTATTTTGTACAAGATAAAACACACAAAGAAGAGTGAACTCCCAGACTCCTGTTCTGATCCAGGCTAATTCCTTGAATTGAGGCATGTGTCATTACAGGAGTTGGTGTCGTTTGAGGATGTGGCTGTGAACTTCACTTGGGAGGAGTGGCAGGACCTGGATCATGCTCAGCGGACCCTGTACAGGGTCATGATGCTGGAGACCTACAGTAGCCTGGCATCTTTGGGTGAGTGAAAGTGTCCACTTTTTTCTTCATTGGTATATGTGCAACTGTTTATAAAATTAAATGTTTCTTAGGTTTAAGATGCAAGGCCCAGAAGAATGTGTGTTCACCCCTCTAGTCAGAGGTTCACATTGGCCCTTCATTGTATAGCTCTTGGCAGCGGTGCTCCTGTCATTCCTCAAAGGCCGTGAAACCAAAGCAGTCTGTTAAGAGTCCCGCTTCATTTCTGATCGACACGGCACTGTATGACAAAACCTGAGGTGATCATCAGGTTGGAGCTAGGAGCAGAGCCATGGATTGTAGAGGAACCCCCAGCCCAGAGCCTCCCAGGTCAGTCAGTGCATACTGGGCAGGGGTCTGGGAAGAGGAGAGCCCAGTAGATGCTGGCCATGCTGGGCTGTTTTCCCCAGTGCTTTTCCCAGGTCCAGACCTTAGGACAGTGAGTCTGCATGTATCAGACTCATGAATTCTTTACTCTCATACACAGACATCCCCATTTTTTTTTAATTACCAAGTATATTTTCTTGGACTTACCAAAATGTGGTACCTAGCTGCATCTCTTGGAATAGTTTCTTGGTTAGTTACAATTAGAGATTCTTAATGTCTTCCTTTTGTCTATTTTCAAGGACTGTTTTCTTTTTTTATATATATAATTTTTTTAAATTAATTTATTTATGATAGTCACAGAGAGAGAGAGAGAGAGAGGGCAGAGACACAGGCAGAGGGAGAAGCAGGCTCCATGCACCGGAAGCCCGATATGGGATTCAATCCCGGGTCTCCAGGATCGCGCCCTGGGCCAAAGGCAGGCGCCAAACCGCTGTGCCACCCAGGGATCCCCTCAAGGACTGTTTTCTTTCAGGCATTTATTCATACATTGGTTTAATCTTTTGGCATGTTAAGTGGAAAATTTTAAGCACTGGTCATTTTTGTTGTGTAAAGAACAGTAATAAAGAAATGTCCTTTTCATAGAATGTGAAGTTTCTTGAGAGGGAAGATGAAACAAATATGCATGGTTAAGTAGTGAGGTAAGAACTGGAAAGGATATTTAATGAGGACAAGAGAAAGAAAAACGTGTATTATTGTTTGAAGGCTTCTCAGAAGGCCTTTTCATGGAGATTAAGTGTTTACATTGGTAGAGCTTCAACTGAGATGACTATTTTCCATTTCCATATGTCATACATGGTGCACCTAAAATCTGGAGTAGGGTTGGATATCCATCACCATATTGGAGATGTAAATTAGGGAATTATTAACCCTAAACTGGGTAGGATTAAAGGAGGTTGCCTAGGGAGTTATTAAGAATTGAGAGAAGAGGTCCAGCTGGAACCTTGTGAATGACAGCATCAGAGATCATGAAACAAAGGAGGACCCAGGAAATTGTTGAGCACAGAAGGAGGTGGTCCATGACATGAGAGGAGAAACTAGAGGTTATTGGTTGAAGTCTAGTAGAATGAGGTGTTTAGGTTAGGGTACTCAAACTTGGGGACTGGAATCTGAAGTTAGCATTTTTACCTTCTTTTGTGGAAATCATTGTTAAAAAAGAGAAAGGTGTGTGACTCCAGTTTCAGTAGAACTATAGGACAGCTGAAACTCTGAAATGCAAGATAGAAGTCTTTAGAAACTAAATTATCAAGTATGGACATTTGTAAACTGTGGGTGAGAATGCCAGGAGTTTGTTTGTTTGTTTTGTTTTTTTCCTACCTAAGTAGGATCCAGAAGAAGAATTTTCAGAGTTGTTGGGCACAGCAGAACCTAAATCTTTTAGACCAGAAGGGAGGAATTGCACAGTGATGACCAGAGTTTTCTGTACCTGTTATGGAGTCCCAGGATCCAGTCCCACATCAGTCTCTCTGGGTGGTGCCTCGTTCTTCCTCTGCCTGTGTCTCTGCCTCTTTCTCTCTCTCTGTCATGAATAAGTAAAATCCTTAAAAAATAAAAGAAAAAAAAAAGAAAGCTGTCTTTGGCTAGCATGAAGAAGTAGAGATGATGCCTTTGAAAAACCCCACAGGTGCCCATAGCCATCCATAGAGGAGTAAAAAAATAAACCTTGTCCCTAAGCAATATACCTGTTTAGGTGACAGACAGATGGCCCTCTCCTGCATCCTAGAGTAACCGATCCAGGAAGATCTTGCCATCTGCAAAGCTGAATGATGAGAAAAAGCCCAGCACAAGGAACTCACAGGTATTATGAGAGGAAGCAGGAAACAGAACAGGGACAGAAATGCAGTTGAAGGAACTCAGCTGAGAATCGTGGCTAGGGAATAGGTGAATATTGTGACCAGATATTTCCTAGTGGACCCAGCAAGGGGGAAAAAAAAAAAGCCTTAAATAGGCAAAATGAACAAATAAAACCATGCTTTGATGTTAGAGAATCTGTTAGTGCAATGTGTTACGTTAATTCATTAGAAAGAAAAATCATATGTTTATCATAATCATACCCATTATTGAGTCTTTAAAATTCGTATTCTACTGCAATACAAAGAAACTTCTTTATTCTTACACAAACATTCCATAAGAAGTGCTTAGATGCGATTCACAGATATGGTTACTTTGTCTTATTTTAGATGTCCAGACTGCAAATGACCTGATGGAGACCCAACAGGAGCATCAGAGCAGACGTTTGTGGCAATTTGGATTCTCCAACCAGGAAACATCAACTGAGGAGAGAACCGACTTGGGAAAACCAGTTCATTTGAGTGCAATCCACATCTCAAACCTGATTATAAATGATGGAAACTATTCAGGAACGAAGCCAGAGGAGTTTAACATGTGTCAGGACATGTTTCTCCCCAGTGAGCCTGATGAGATACATGATAGAAAGAAGCCTAAGGACAGTTATATGACTGGGAAGCCCCTCAGGTGTTCTGGGCCTCTTAGTTGTCATCAGAAGGATCAGACTTTGCAGCCACTTGTTGAATTTGTTGGGCAAGGGAAAGGCTTCAACAAGGAGACAACATTCTTTACCTGTAGCAGGGCTTACACTGGAGAGACTGCCTATAAATACTGGAGAGCCTGTGACAAATCTGCTCTCCTTGCCCAAGAGAGAACTTCCATGAGGGAGAATCCCTGTAGATATAACGAATGGGGGAACACCATTTGTGTGAAACCAACACAACTGAATCTTTCTAGAGCTGATTTTGAGGAACATCACCATAAATGTAATCAAAATGGGGATAATTTCTGCAAGGAATTACACCTCCCTCGGTTTTCAAGGACTCAGCTAGGAGAGAAAACTTTTGAATGTGATGTAGGTGGTAAAACTTTCTACAAAAAGTCTAATCTCAGTAAACATCAGAAAATACACGCAGGAGAGAAACCCTATAAATGTAGCGAGTGTGAGAAAACCTTCATCAGTAAGACAGTTCTTACAGTCCATCGGAGAACTCATACCGGGGAGAAACCCTATGCATGTATCAAATGTGAGAAATCTTTCTGCCGTAAGTCACACCTAACTGTTCATCAGAGAATCCACACAGAAAAATCATATGAGTGTTATTAATGTTGGAAATCCTTCTCTGTGAAGACAAAACTCACTCTACATCTGAGAACACACACAGGGCAGAAACGCTATGAATGTAATGTGTGTAGGAAGTTCTTTTACCAGAAGTCAGCCCTCACTGTACATCAGAGGGTTCACAATAGGGAGACACATCATGAGTGCATTGCTTGTGGTAAAACCTTCCATAAGAAGTCAATTCTCACTGCACATCAGAGAACTCACACAGGAGAGAGACCATATGAATGTAAAGAATGTGGGAAGTCCTTTGGCCATTGCCCAGCTCTTACTGTCCATCAGAGAACTCACTCAAGAGACCAACCATATAAATGTAATGAATGTGGGAAATCCTGTGTAAAGCCAAAGCTCACTGTGCATCTGAGACTTCACACAGGTGAGAAACCGTATGAATGTAAGGAATGTTGGAAAACCTTTTGTGAGAAATCAGCTCTGAATAGACATCAGAGAACTCACACAGGAGAGAAACCCTATGGGTGTAAAGAATGTAGGAAAACTTTCTACCAGAAGTCAGCCCTGACTGTGCACCAGAGAACTCCTACAGGAGAGAAACCCTATGAATGTCATGAATGTGGAAAAACTTTCTCTCAGAAATCACACCTCAGCAAACATCAGAGAACTCACACTGGGGAGAAGACATGTATTACAGAGACTGGCTATGTGTATGTCAAAACTCACTTTCTCTTTGTGTTGGGCACACAGCCTTCATTCCTCAGCCTCCCTTAACTGTGGGTGGAACCATGTAATTGACTTCTGGCCAAGAGGATATGAATATAAATTACGAACATTACATCTATGACTTGCCACCAAAAAAACTTACTTGCATTTGCTGATTTTTTCATTCCCTGTGCTCCTGAAGCACAGATTACACACAAGTTTGTTTTGGGGCCACAGGGTGGAGATCACAGCCATGACTTAGGGCAGAAAGAATTGAATGGGGAGGGCAGAGGTCTTCTCAACTCTACCTCAGAAATCTTTGCTTATATTTACCTGAGTGAGAAGTGTTCACTGTTGGACCCTTTTATGTGCCCTATTGACACATCTACAACACTACCAGTCCACTGTAGTGAGTTCACTTTAGGATTTTGAGATAGGAGAGGAGTTACCAATCCGTGTGTAGGAAATTCACACAGGAAAGAACCTGTGGGTCATCTTTTAAACCCAAGTCAATGTATGGAAAAATTAAAGAAATACAGGAAGGAAGAATCCAATAAAGGTAGGAATGCCTTTATCAGACAGAGATGACTCACTAAGATGAGCACTTAGAATAAAGTGAAACCTTATAAATATCTTTTATTTGTCCAAGTTTTCAAGAGAACGAATTTTGTGTTTATCAGTGAATTTCTCATGAAGGGAAAATGATCAGTTTCAGCAAGGTTTATAAAAACTCAGCTAGAAATGATAATGTATTGAAAAAAAGTTTTCTAAACAGTATAGACCATTGGTTATTGGGAGTGATTTTAGCTTCCAAGGGGACATTTACCAGTACTACTGCTAAGTAGCCAGTGTCCATTCTGCATTTCTTTAGTCTGTAGTTACAGGGCCCATGAAGACTCTAAGTAGTGGAGAAATAGATTTTAACTATTGAAAGAAGGGCATCTTACAAAAGAGTATGTGGGATGGGACATAGTAATGTGGCCATTTTTGGAAAATTGAGTGGATACAATCTGCTTTCTGGCGATAGAGTTCACATCACTTACATATAAAAACTGTATTAAAACTCAAGGATTGGGCAGCCCTGGTGGCTTAGCAGTTTAGCGCTGCTTGCAGCCCGGGGTGTGATCCTGAAAACCCGGGATCGAGTCCCATGTCGGGCTCCCTGCATGGGGCCTGCTTCTCCCTCTGCCTGTGTCTCTGCCTCTCTCTCTCTGTGTGTGTGTGTCTCTATGAATAAATAAAAACTTAAAACTCAAGGATGTCCGTTTATAAAGCTGCTTGGCTCAAAATCTAGGACATCATCTGTACTCGGTCTTGGGCACAGTCCCTTCTGCGTGGTTGCTCTTAAGCTGAAGCCATGTGACCTGACATGACCAGTTAGGGCCCTGCACAACACATGGTGGTGGCACGGAGATGGGAGTTTCAGCTGGTCCACTCAAAGGGGAGGGGAATCGGGAGGCACTTAGCCATCTGTGGTCCATAGAAACTTTGGGTTCTAGCAGGGCACACCATCAGTTCCTGGATTAGGGTGCAGTGGTCTGGGGATGACTTCCAAGCTTCTGGATTCTGCACTCAGTCATTTTCTCTCTTCTACAAGACATACCCCCCCCTTTTTTTAAAACTAGTTTCTTCATTTGAGCTGTTTCTAAACCTTTCATTTGAAATTGATTTGATTCCTTTAAAAAAAGTTTTTGGATTTCTGATACATGAAACTACTGTCCGCTCTTATTAGATGAAAGCCAGCCTCATACTTCTGGAACAGGATCCACTCTACCTCAACCTGAGAGTGATGTGGGGACAGAGCCTCTGAGATTTGTAAAAGCCTTATTTATCATCTGTGAGAAAATACAAGGTGCACTCTTAGGAGTCTCAAGGAAGGGTCATTTTTTAAAGACTTTATTCATGTGACACATAGAGAGGCAGAGACATAGGCAGAGGGAAAAGCAGGCTACTCACAGGGAGCCTGATGTGGGACTCGACCCCCAAACTGGGAACACGTCCTGAGCCAAAGGCAGACGCTCAACTGTTGAGCCCCCCAGGTGTCCCAAGAGTCTCAAAGAGGGGTCTTAAAGCAGCACCCTTGGTCTGAGATTTACTCTGCGGCTCCATTTTGCTGGTAGTGTCTTGAAAGTGATCTTTAGCCTGATCTAACTGGAGAAGCTGGGAAGGAGGAACAGTTTTATTTTCAAACCTAGCGAGTCCTGGCTCCTTGATATTTTGTCTAGGTTAATCTTTGAACAATCTCTTCTAGGTCATCTGCCTTTACCTTAACCTTATAAGTGACTCCACCAGCTATGGATTTTAGTGTGTTTCTCAGCTAGGAACCACTCTTGATTGCCCCACTGTGGTGATGGGGCTACAGTTCTCCTTTTCCAGCTGACACGATCTTTGGGTTTCCAAGTAAAGGGCCTGGAGGGAGATTGCAAGGCTGAGCAGGAAGGATTTTCTTTCTTCTTTGGCAGATAGTCATGTGGTTGTGAGCAGGGGTAGGGGAAGGTTCCAGTCCTTTTTCTCTGGTCCTATTTCACTGTCTAGAACTTCAATGTCATGAATAGTATTTAAATACACCTGAAATGCTTCTAACACTTCACCACCAAGTATAAATGAAGTTACCTTCTATTCCTGTGTTTATAATTTTTCTTTATGTAAATAGGTGTTGGATTTTGCCAAAGCCTTTCATTCATCTGTTGAAACAATCGTGTGTCCTGTTTTAAAAGTCTAAACCTGATGCTACAATCATGGGCATCATGGGCTTGGCTGAGATGCAGTTCTTAAAGGTGATGTTTCCACCAGCATGCAGTGAAAAATATTAATTTCCAGGAGATGCAGGAGTTATTTTGAGATTACCTATTCATTTATGACACAGGTCTGATTAACCCCACCTCAGGTAGAAAACTGGGAGGCTGATGCTTACTGTCTGGCTGAATGAATAATTTCTCACCAGGTTAGGTTTTCCCATTGTTTCGTGGAAACAGTGCTCTCCACACTGGTGGCCTGCTTGGACCTCTCTCCATCCTGCCATGTTACCTCCCTACTGGCATGTGGGAGCCTTCCAAGGGAAGGATCTCTACTTTAGTCACTGCATTTTGGCCTAGGATCCCAGACTTGGACTACCTTTGCTGCCCTTGATTTGGGGAGTACATTTTTTTGATTTGAGACCTACTTCAAAAGCACACAATAGTCTCAGGTGACCGACTCCCAGGACATGGAAAATTCTAACATACTGTGTTGTATAGACAGGTATGTCAGTTATGTATTTTGTGCCCACAAGAGCAGAAACTACACTTGGCTTCCAATTATGTTTTTCTCAGCTAGTCGGTGGAGACTGTGGGTAAGGGACTGGCTGAGATCCCAAGCACCTTGTTCCTCATGTTTGGGATTTCCAGGTTCTGTAGGTTCTGTGGAGTCCAGGCCTCAGTAACAAATTCAAATAATCACAGGGTGGGTTTGCAGAACGTGCACCTTTCTGCCTGGAGACCCAAAACAGGGTGTGTAGTCCTAGAAATGAGCAGAGACTATGAGGTTAGGGAAGCACATACTAGGCACCTCCCGTCGAACTCTGGCTGAGGCCAAATGGAGATGTGGCCAAGGCTTTACCCAGCCTCAGGGGTCAAGGGTCTTGGGCTGGACAAGCCCTACCACCCTTGCACAAACTCAGCTGAGACAGTGGTACTGAAATAGTAATTTTATTTCTTGAAGTTCATGGCACTGAATAGGCTCCATGGTAGGGAGAGTCCTTCTTGCCTAAGAGGGCATAGGGCCTTCCTTGGTGGGCATCTCTGGGTCTTTCTCCTGAATGACTCCTAGGAGCTTGGGATTGGCCTGTGGGAGGTCAGGGTCTGAGAAGCGAAGTCTCTGTGCACCCCTGTGCCCACAGCCTTACTGGCATGTGCCCCTTCCCACCCCACCACTGTCAGCCTCTGTACTTCTGTCTTGGTTATGCCCTATGAGAACACCCCCTTCCCCAAAGAGCATCTTTGAGGACTCTGTGATTCCCCTTCCTTGCCTTCCTCTACCCAGCTCCTTTTATGAGCTATCTCTGCTCCTTGCCACCCAATTCCAGGTCTCACAGGTTCTCCTGGGCCAGCCCCTTCCTCTTGTTTGCTTTGGGCTTGAACAGGGATCTGCATCCCAAGCTTTTCCAGCTCCTCTTTAAGCCTGGACAGAAAGGGGTGGGGTCAGTATGGGGAGGGGGAGGAGAAGGGACAAGAGGGTGTAAAGAAATGGGGAGATGAGCTGAAAGGGGAGCAGAGGTGCCCTCACAGCCATCTTCCTCTTGGGGACTGGGGGCAGGGCCTCCATGCCCACCTCTGCCTCTTCTGCTGCAGTTGTTGGCACTTCTGCTGCAGCTGCTCATGGTGATGTGTAGCAGCATCCAGGAGCCCCTGGGCCTTCCTGTTCTCCTCTTCAAACAGATGCCTGAGGGTGGGGCCATCAGCACTGGAAACTCCATCCCTCCACCCCATTCCCTGTCCCTGTCCTCTTTGGTCTTACACTGCAGCTGCAGCCTCCTGGCTGCGGAGAAAGAGCCCCTCAGCAATGGTTGAGCAGCCGTCAGCCCCAAACTGGGAACACAGACGATGCTTCACATCTTCCAGCTTTGCCTCCACAAGCTTCTCTGCAGCAAGAAGGGACAATGGGCAGGGTACAGCAGGGCAGTACAGGGCAAATCAGGGCTTCCCCCTTCTCGCTCTCACCTTCCTTGAGCAGGTGCTCCTTGCTGCTGTCCAGGGTGTCAATCTCCCGAGCCATCTGCTCTGGCCCCTGAGTAGGTAGAGAGGAGGCCTGTCCATGTGTTCCAGCCTCTTCCCATGCCCTTCAGAGAAGTCTATCTGGATCTGGTCCCTACTCAGCCTGCCTCACTTCCTACTATTCTGGGCCTCTGGGCACACAAGGCATGTTCCAGCTTCAGGGCCTTTGTACTGGCTACTGTCTGCACCTGGAACTGTCTTACCTGATACCTGTGATGCTGCACTTGAGGCTCATGAGGTGGTTAATGTTCAGGAACTTTGCCAGTTTTGAGATCAGGTCTGAGGCAACTATTTCTTACAGGACATCCCGAAAACATTACAAATCACAACTGTTCTCTGGAGAATCAGTTACCAGCCTGGCACTGCAGCTCCACTTGCCTTTGTGTGGCTTCCTCACTGAGCCCCTCCATCTTAACACTTATTCTCTCTGGACTCCCAGGCGGTCAGGATGGTCTGCCTGGATCCCCACTTGTGTGCCCTGTGTCAGTCATGGCTGCAGACACACCCTCCTATGCGCTCTATGAATTACCTCTCCTTGGTTCATCAGGGTTCCTCATGGCCCCTGAAGGGATGAATGGGCAGGCCCAGTGAAGAGAAGGACACTGGGTGGCAGTGAGGATGGTGACGAGGGATTGAGCTAAGGGCCATTTGGACATATGACCACCCGTGCTAGCTCAGGAGCTGGGGGTGGCAGATGAGAGGAAGGAGGCCTGAAGCATGATCATGAGTTTTGGGCCTGGGACTTCCAGGGAAGATGTGAAAGGTGGGAGGAATGGCTTTGGGTGACTCACATGGAACTTCCAGAGGTCCTTGTGCTGGCCCATCAGATCCTCTAGCTGTGCCTCAAAATCCAACCTGCAGACCAACCACACAAGATGAGGAGCCATGTGCTGAGACATTCCTCCCCACCTTGGCCCAAGCCAGGGGTCTTCATGCATAGACCATATGAAAGTTGCCCACGTCCTCTGCTCTGTGGGAAGCACCTTCACCACCTTGAGGCTCCAGGCCTCACCTCAGCCAGCTCTTCTAAGCCCCATCCCTAATATTACCCACCACCACCCTGCCTGGCCTTGGGGACTTTACCTCAGTTGCCTCTGTTTATTCTTCTCTTCCTCAATCTGGGAGTTCAGGGCAGAAATTCGCTCCTTGCACTCCTGCAGCATGGTATGCTTCCTGGGAAGAGGCAAGGCCGCTCTCACAGTCTCTGAATGTCTCCCCAGGAGAGGGCTGGGGTGGGGCTTCTGCTTCCTCTTGGGGTCTGTTCTGGCTTTCCAGGTAGAGGCCCTTCTTTGATCACTTTATGGGGGGGGGCATGGGCACTTGTCCCCTGGAAATACTGTTGTGAAATCAGGGAGATCAACATGGACACAGGTGCACAAGCACACAGATACTAATCTCCTCCAAATTTCCCACACCATTCCAATGTTGGTATACGAGGGCTTGGGGACTCTGGGTCACGAAATGAGCTAAATCAAGGGTATGTGGAGATATGGATTAACGAATATTGAAGTGGATGGAGAGACACTGGGTGGCTAGGTGCCTAAATGAGGGGACACATGAGTGCACAGAGAACCAAGGAGCCTATTTTAGAAAGAGTACCAGACATAGAATAAAACCACAGAAAGACTTTGGTAGTTCTAGCAAATGAATGATTATCTAAGTGAGTCAGAGTACCCTTACTGTGTGCTGCTGGGACTGAGGTGGGAAGACATGCATCTAGCTTCTCTTTTTTACAGAGGAAGATAATGCAACCGTGGGTCCAGAGCTGATTTTCCTGGTGTCTTTTCCACCCAGATCAAGGGGGTGGGCAGAACAAGGCCCAGGTGGAAGCTCTTACCTCTGTGCCTCACTCTCCTTCTCCTGGCAGTGCAGCCTGAGGATTCTTAGGGTCTCTGCAGGGAGAGGAGCCAAGGGCCACGTGAAAATCCTTCAAGACATCAGGATTAGATGTAGAAAATAGGGTCAGATCATGTGTGGGCTTGTGGACACCTGATGGGACTTTGTCATTTACTGCAAGTCTAGTGGAGGGACGCCTCAGTGGCTCAGTGGTTGAACATCTGTCTTTGGCTCAGGGCATGATCCCAGGGTTCCAGGATCAAGTCCTACATCTGGCTCCCCGCAGGGAGCCTGCTTCTCCCTCTGCCTAGGTCTCTGCCTCTCTGTGTGTCTGTTATAAATTTAAAAGTCTGGTAGAAGGCATAGGAGGAATACAAGATAATTCAGGTTTCAAAGGGCTTCAGCTACTATGGAGAGACTGGCTTCTGCAGGGGGATGGAGTTGCTGCAATTACCTTGCTTTTTGTTCAAGATCTCTTTCAGGCGTACTTTCTCTCCACTCACTGGAAAACACAGTAACACATTCAGGCATCGGAGACCTCCCACTGCACCTTCAGGGAGTGCACCTGCCCCTGGTTTCACAGGCACTTTGGGACAGCTCTACTCCAACCCCAAATGTGGACCCTTGGAGTTGAGCCCACAATCCCTGTAAGCAGTCAAGGGCCCTAGGGTTGGTGATGGCTGACTGAGGAAACTGTGGAGGCCAGTGTGTTCACACGGAGGGGAGAGATGAACTGGGAATATGCGCTAAGAAGAAACACATTAAGTTCTAAGGGGAATGTGATCCGGTGGGGACAGGGTGCTATCCTTAAGTGGGATGGCTGGGGGAGTTCTACTGGAGATGGGGACATTCAAGGTAAGGGCTTAGGATGACGGGTGGCAAGAAGGACCTATACTATCTGGGGCTGAACCGCCTCACAGGCCCTGAGGTGGAAGGATGCTTGGAGGGTACTCTGGGAATACTCCTATCCACCCTACTAGTAGGAGACTGGTAGGACCTGATGCTGCAGAGGGGGCGGGAGCCCTTGGCCACAGCAAGGATGCTACATGTCCAGAGTGTTGAGTTCAGGAAAGCTTGACACCAGACACCTCTGGGTAACCCCTGGTATGCTTACGTGAGTCCATTTCCTTCTGCAGGGCCTCCCAAACAGTTCGGGCCTCTCCCAGCTCCTCACTGGCTTTCTTTTTTGCTGTGCCAAAAAGCAGAACTATGTATAAGTGCAGCCTCCAACTGCACAATTCCCTGCAAACAGTGACATTTCACATTTCTCTTCAAGGAAATCTGGGTGGGGGGCAGATTTTAAGGCAAGAAATGAGGCTTCCAGAGCCCACGCCTTTTTTGGGGGGCTCAGGTGACAGCAGTGCCAGGTTAATGGACAATATGACTATAGCAGTTACATTTAGATGTACCCATCCTTGGTTTAATGATCTGCTATGAAATACTTAAGTCACTTTTCAACAAGGAACCTGCAAATCATGTAGCTAGTCCCTGAGCTCACCTTGCTGAACCTCGTTAATCCGATTGATCAGGACTTCGACCCTGGGCTCTAGGCTTCCCGCTGCAGGAAGGAAAGGAAGCTGAGTGATGACAGGAAGGGGAAGTTGGGAGCCCTACAGGAACTTATTCTGGGCAGGGGAGGCAATGAAAAAATAAGAGATACTGAGTCAGGTTGTAGAAATTGTAGCCAAGAAAAATAGGCAAGGAATTAAAGAGTGAATGAGTAGGGCATGCTCTTTAGCCATGGGAAGACCTCTTGAAGGTCCCCAATCACGGGAAGCGAAGTTTCCAGGTGGGGGTGGAACACCACCATGAGGTGGGAACATGGCTGGAACGAGCCTGGTAAGCTCTCTCGGCTGCAGAGAGCAGTAGAGCTAAGGTGGAGGTTTACACTGAAACCCTGGATTTAACTAAATGCAGTGGGGGCCAAATGGGTGTCTAGCAAGAGGGTTTTGGGAAAATTTTTTGCCTTCTATCCCCTCAGACTGTAATTTTGAATCATGGGGCTGTATCTTTACTTTAAAGAATTAATTTTTAAATGTAAGAGAGAACAAATAAGTTAATTTCCCAAGGTTGTAAATTGTGGGGTCTGGAACTGAATCCATTTCTGCCTTATCGCAAAGCTCAGGCTGTGCTTCAGTTACAGGAGACATGTGACCTTTCTGCAACTTCTTCACCATTTCCAGCAAGTCTTCAATTTTCTGTGAGGACTTGGCCTGCCCTGTGGAGGCAAAACCAAACGCCTTAAAATCCCGAGTAAGGGTCCAACAACTTTGGTGTGGGACTGAGGGAGGTCAGGTCCCCAGCCACAATGGCAGCCCCTGCTTCTTGTCCTGAGGTAGACACTGAATATGAGATGAGTCAGACTGTTTCACTGTCAACCTTCTGCAATTGTGAAATCATACCACAGATTTCCCCTTAATAAAACTCAGGCCAAGGGGAGGGGTGAACTTTCACTGCCTGTAATATTCAAGATTGGCTCAAAGCTCATGATGTAATAATGAAAGAAAAAAAAAGGAGGGGTATATATAAAAAGGCGTATATATATATAGAAACAGGGATCAAAAATCACTCTAACTGCAGATGGCTAATTAACTAGAGAGTTCTAAAGAGTCTTGAGAACAGAAAATTCAAGGCATCTCAAAGAATAGAAGAAAATTTAAGACATCTCATTTAAACATAAAAAATAAAAGCTATTCTATATACAATCACTTATTATGAAGCCTCTTAGTAAAATATTTCATATTAACCTGTTTATAAACAATATAGGCACTTATTCTTTTTTATATTTTACTTATTCATGAGACACCCACACACACACAGAGGCAGAGACACAGGCAGAGGGAGAAGCAGGCCCCACGCAGGGAGCCCGATGTGGGATTCGATCCTGGGTCTCCAGGATCACACCCGGGACTGAAGGCGACGCCAAACCGCTGAGCCACTGGGGCTGCCTCTTATTCTTAATATCTTAATGAACTGGTAGATCTAGGCAATTACTATTAATGGCGTTAACATCACAATAAAGATAACTGGATACTATGAGCCACTTGATGTAAAAATGTAATATACTATTTTTGCCAAAAAAAAAGTCAGACTAAGATCTTTTAATCCACTAATCTAAATACTAATTCAGAGGAAATACAGGCAATAGGACACATGGGGAATGCAATCAGCAACATCCAGATTAGCAACTTTACAGGAAAACCAACTCAGTTCTTTTAACAGGTTTTGAGGGATAAGGAAGAAAGGAAGTCTTGCAGACTAAAAGGGATTAAAGGAACATAAATTAATCTGAAAAATGGACATTACTTAGATCTTGATTCAAACCTGTATACTTTAAAAAATATTGATGACACAATCAGGGAAATTAGAAAACTGACTGGATATTTGATATGTGAAACTAAGGAATTACTGTAGTTGTTATTCAGACATGAGAATACTATTGTGGTTATATTTTGGATATCTGTTAGAGATATGTATGGAAATATTTATAGATGACATGCTATCATGCCTGTCATCCTCCAATGAAATAGTGGAGTGAGTGGGTGAGGATAAAGCAGAAACAAGGTTTGCTAAAAGCTGATAACTACTGAAGTGGAAAGATGGGGTCATGGGGTAATTATACTTTATTCCTACCTTTTGAATATGCTTAAATTTTTCCATGATACGTTTTTTAAAGAGCAACTAGTCAATATAAAGAAGGTAAACAATCATTTCTCTATAAGAATGGAGAAAAGGAGAGGACAGTCAAGCAAAAATGATATAAATGGTCAGTAAATATTTTAAAAGAGGTAACTATCATAATTAATGAGTTGAAAATAACATATTATACCTATCTGATTGGTAAAGATTAATAAATCTGACAATGGCCAGTGAGATGATGTGGGAAAACTCACACATACTGGTAAGCCTGTGGAAACTGATGGGGCCAAAATTCTGTTATCCAGGGATTTATGTATGAGATATAGTCAGTTAAGGATGCACAAGGCCTGTAAAGACACTGAAGCAATACCTGTCGCATCAAAAGTGAGAAACAACTTGAATGCCCGGCAGTCAAGAACTTATGCCTTATCCCCACAAGATGCCGCACAGCCACTGAACAGGTAGATTTGCGTGTACTAACAGGGAAAGAGACCCTAGTGGAAAAAATGGTGGAGCGAACCCCATAGGGCCAGAGTGAAACATACCGTCAGTCAGTCAGTCTACAGATTCGTGCACACCATGTTTAGATAACCTCTGGCCAGAATAACAGAAGAAACTTCAACAGTCGTTGCCTCTGGAGGCTGGGACTGGAGGACAAGAGGGTGTTTCCTTTCATCAGACACAAGGTCGTATTTTTTTGAGTCAATAAATTTGGGGGACTCCAAAACGGTTTTTACAGTTAGTCTGGGCAACCATATTCGCAGGGACTATCAGTGGACCAGGCAGTGAGCTGCAGTGGTTTTTCCTCTACTGCATGGCCAGCGCCCTCACAAGGGAAGGCCGACTGCTGTGCCCTCACGGGGTCGTCATACCTTGTTGTGCGACGCTTGTTATCTCGTCAACAAAGCATCCAGGGCACAAGGTAGCCTGTGCACTGTGACCCCCAGGTTTTACTTTCATCTCAAAATAATGTCAAACCGACTAAGAAGCGGCGGAAGGCGGACATGTGGCTCCCGTCCCCGCGCTGACGTCGAGGCCACAGGGGAGCCGCAGCCAAGGCGGGCAGAGGCGCGAAGACGCCGCACACCTGCCCCGCCTCAGGGACGCTCCCCGCGGCCCCCGGAAGCGCCCCCCGTCCGCGCCCGAGGGCAGCCCCGGCCCGCGCCCCGAAGGTTCCACTAGGGCCGTCAGGCTGAGCCCCCCTGTGTGGGCCGGCCCTGGCCGGGTGGGGGCGCCCCGGGGTGGGTGGGGGCGGGGGTGCCGTCTCCGGGCGTCACCCCGCTCCCTCCTCGGCCCCTCGCTCGGGGTGGGGGCGGGGCCGCAGCTTCCGGTGCCCCTCCCCCTCCGGTGCCCCTCCCCCCTCCCCCCTCCCGAGCTGCGAGCCGCGAGGGCGCCCGCGGGGCTGGTGCGGCGGCCGGCACCACCGGGAGCAGAGCCCCGCGCTGCCCCCTCGTCCCCGGCTGCCCGACGCCCGCGAGGAGAGCGGAGCGACTGCGGTCTCCTGAGGCGCCGGCCGCCGGGCGAACGGCTGTGGACGGCCCGACCTTCCTTCAGCAGCGCCCCCGCCCGCCCGCCCGCCCCTCCCGGTGGCCGGGCCCCCGCATTACCTCCGGCCTTCTCGGCCCGCTCCATGGCTCCCGCCCGCTCAACGCCCGAAGGCCCCGGCCGCCCCGCCATGGCCTCAGCTCCCCGGCGCCCGGCGTGTGGCGCCTCGGCGGGGATTGGCTGAAACCCGCGCTGGGGGCGGGGCTTCCCGCGGCACGCCTGCGCACTGAGCTTCGGAGCGCGGCGGCCCGGGTCCCAACGGCTGCGGACGGGCGCTGGTGCGCATGCGTACAGCCTCGTGGTGGTCCAGGCCGCTGATTGGCCAGCGGGGCTCCGTGACCGTGACCGCGAGGGCGGCGCTCTTAGGGACCCGCTGCGGGTGGAGCTCCGCGCTCCAGAGGCTGGTGCCCGGGTCGTGACCCCGACGGGGCCGCGGGGAGAGGCTGCGGCTGCGGTTTGCCCAGAGCCCCGAGCGCGCGGCGGGCGGTCAGCCCGGACAAAGCCCGTTAGGTCGGAGGCCCGTTGGGACTGTTAATGCATCCGTGTGACGAAGGATGAAGCGGGGAGCCAGCAAGTCTAACACGGCGGAGCTCCTCCCGCAGATTCGGGGGCACCCAGGGCACCCAGGGCACCGGCGGCGTGGGCGGAGCAGCGGCCCCAGGCCACCCGGCCCGCGCGGCTCCTCCTAGTGCAAACGGACACTTCGCTTTTACGTGCAGCTGTGCCAGCCAAGCAGAGCTGCTGCTCAGGTTTCAGAGGCTGTGTTTTCTGTTTGCTCTTCCTTAAAATGAATCAGGCCTGTTAACCTTAACAAAACACGCCATTTATTTTATCAGCAAAAGACGGGTTTATCTGGAACAGTAGGGACTGACCACCAGGACAGGCCAACCACTGCCAAACCACGGGGGTCCTGAGAACCGGCAAGAGGAGGCGCGCTTGGAGGCCTGCTGCGCTGCTGGCTCCTGCGGGACCGTGAAGGGCGTCCCCTGCGAGGCTCCCCTCTGCCTGCTGCCAGGGCACAGGGCTGGCTCCTTCCCAGCCTTTGGCCTTCACTTGAGCCTGGCGTCCTGGTCTGTTCTAGCCGCTCAAACAATGCTGATGCCAAAGATGGGTCGCACTCCTCCTGTGGCGTTGCTCTGCATCCTCATGGACGGGGCCACCGCGGAGGTGCCGCTAGTCCTGGGCTTCTGGGGACCTGGAGCTGCGGGAGGAGGAGGTGAATAGCCTGGAGCAGCAGCTTCCTGAGTGCGGTGCACAGGAAGAAGGGGTGGTCCTCGGCGAGCGGCAGAGGAAAGGCCTGATGTGAAAACGTGTGTTTTTAGCTATTTTTTTGTGTGTGGCAGAAGAGTTTGTGTATTGCATAACATACTGTCTTGGGTTGCTTGTGGCTCATTTTCCCAGCAGTATTTCTTGAGGAGGCGTCCTGTGCGGGGTGCGCTTGGCTCCCTTGTAGAGCAATGGAACGTGGACGCTTGTGTTTAATTCATTCTGCTGTGACGATCCTCGTGCCTGTTTTCATCTCAAAACTTTCAAGCCTTTTCTTCACGGTACCTTTGTATAAAGGCTTATTCTTTCTCAAGATGGGTTTGGCTATGCAGGATCTCTTGTTAATTCTTTTTCTTTTATTATTTATTTACGATAGTCATACAGGGAGAGAGAGAGGCAGAGAAACAGGCAGAGGGAGAAGCAGGCTCCATGCGCCGGGAGCCTGACGTGGGATTCGATCCCGGGTCTCCAGGATCGTGCCCTGGGCCAAAGGCAGGCGCCAAACCGCTGCGCCACCCAGGGATCAATCTCTTGTTATTTTTTAAGATTTTATTTATTTATTCATGAGAAACACAGAGACAGGAAGAGACACAGGCAGAGGGAGAAGCAGGGTTCGGGTTCGAGTTCGGGTTAGGGGTTGGGGTTAGGGGTTGGGGTTCGGGTTAGGGGTTGGGGTTAGGGGTTAGGGTTCGGGTTAGAGGGTTAGGGTTAGGGTTAGGGTTAGGGTTAGGGGTTAGGGTTAGGGTTAGGGTTAGGGTTAGGGTTGTTAGGGTTAGGGTTGTTAGGGTTAGGGTTAGGGGTTAGGGTTAGGGTTAGGGTTAGGGTTAGGGTTAGGGTTAGGGTTAGGGTTAGGGTTAGAGGGTTAGGGTTAGGGTTAGGGTTAGGGTTAGGGTTAGGGTAGGGGTTAGGGTTAGGGGTTAGGGTTAGGGTTAGGGTTAGGGTTAGGGTTAGGGTTAGGGTTAGGGTTAGGGGTTAGGGTTAGGGTTAGGGTTAGGGTTAGGGTTAGGGTTAGGGTTAGGGTTAGGGTTAGGGTTAGGGTTAGGGGTTAGGGTTAGGGTTAGGGTTAGGGTTAGGGTTAGGGTTAGGGTTAGGGTTAGGGTTAGGGTTAGGGTTAGGGTTAGGGTTAGGGTTAGGGGTTAGGGTTAGGGTTAGGGTTAGGGTTAGGGTTAGGGTTAGGGTTAGGGGTTAGGGTTAGGGTTAGGGTTAGGGTTAGGGTTAGGGTTAGGGTTAGGGTTAGGGTTAGGGTTAGGGTTAGGGTTAGGGTTAGGGTTAGGGTTAGGGGTTAGGGTTAGGGTTAGGGTTAGGGTTAGGGTTAGGGTTAGGGTTAGGGTTAGGGTTAGGGTTAGGGTTAGGGTTAGGGTTAGGGTTAGGGGTTAGGGTTAGGGTTAGGGTTAGGGTTAGGGTTAGGGTTAGGGTTAGGGTTAGGGTTAGGGTTAGGGTTAGGGTTAGGGTTAGGGGTTAGGGTTAGGGTTAGGGTTAGGGTTAGGGTTAGGGTTAGGGTTAGGGTTAGGGTTAGGGTTAGGGTTAGGGTTAGGGTTAGGGTTAGGGTTAGGGTTAGGGTTAGGGTTAGGGTTAGGGTTAGGGTTAGGGTTAGGGTTAGGGTTAGGGTTAGGGTTAGGGTTAGGGTTAGGGTTAGGGTTAGGGTCAGGTTAGGGTTAGGGTTAGGGTTAGGGTTAGGGTTAGGGTTAGGGTTAGGGTTAGGGTTAGGGTTAGGGTTAGGGTTAGGGTTAGGGTTAGGGTTAGGGTTAGGGTTAGGGTTAGGGTTAGGGTTAGGGTTAGGGTTAGGGTTAGGGTTAGGGTTAGGGTTAGGGTTAGGGTTAGGGTTAGGGTTAGGGTTAGGGTTAGGGTTAGGGTTAGGGTTAGGGTTAGGGTTAGGGTTAGGGTTAGGGTTAGGGTTAGGGTTAGGGTTAGGGTTAGGGTTAGGGTTAGGGTTAGGGGTTAGGGTTAGGGTTAGGGTTAGGGTTAGGGTTAGGGTTAGGGTTAGGGTTAGGGTTAGGGTTAGGGTTAGGGTTAGGGTTAGGGTTAGGGTTAGGGTTAGGGTTAGGGTTAGGGTTAGGGTTAGGGTTAGGGTTAGGGTTAGGGTTAGGGTTAGGGTTAGGGTTAGGGTTAGGGTTAGGGTTAGGGTTAGGGTTAGGGTTAGGGTTAGGGTTAGGGTTAGGGTTAGGGTTCGGGTTAGGGTTCGGGTTAGGGTTAGGGTTAGGGTTAGGGTTAGGGTTAGGGTTAGGGTTAGGGTTAGGGTTAGGGTTAGGGTTAGGGTTAGGGTTAGGGTTAGGGTTAGGGTTAGGGTTAGGGTTAGGGTTAGGGTTAGGGTTAGGGTTAGGGTTAGGGTTAGGGTTAGGGTTAGGGTTAGGGTTAGGGTTAGGGTTAGGGTTAGGGTTAGGGTTAGGGTTCGGGTTAGGGTTAGGGTTAGGGTTAGGGTTAGGGTTAGGGTTAGGGTTAGGGTTAGGGTTAGGGTTAGGGGTTAGGGTTAGGGTTAGGGTTAGGGTTAGGGTTAGGGTTAGGGTTAGGGTTAGGGTTAGGGTTAGGGTTAGGGTTAGGGTTAGGGTTAGGGTTAGGGTTAGGGTTAGGGTTAGGGTTAGGGTTAGGGTTAGGGTTAGGGTTAGGGTTAGGGTTAGGGTTAGGGTTAGGGTTAGGGTTAGGGTTAGGGTTAGGGTTAGGGTTAGGGTTAGGGTTAGGGTTAGGGTTAGGGTTAGGGTTAGGGTTAGGGTTAGGGTTAGGGTTAGGGTTAGGTTAGGGTTAGGGTTAGGGTTAGGGTTAGGGTTAGGGTTAGGGTTAGGGTTAGGGTTAGGGTTAGGGTTAGGGTTAGGGTTAGGGTTAGGGTTAGGGTTAGGGTTAGGGTTAGGGTTAGGGTTAGGGTTAGGGTTAGGGTTAGGGTTAGGGTTAGGGTTAGGGTTAGGGTTAGGGTTAGGGTTAGGGTTAGGGTTAGGGTTAGGGTTAGGGTTAGGGTTAGGGTTAGGGTTAGGGTTAGGGTTAGGTTAGGGTTAGGGTTAGGGTTAGGGTTAGGGTTAGGGTTAGGGTTAGGGTTAGGGTTAGGGTTAGGGTTAGGGTTAGGGTTAGGGTTAGGGTTAGGGTTAGGGTTAGGGTTAGGGTTAGGGTTAGGGTTAGGGTTAGGGTTAGGGTTAGGGTTAGGGTTAGGGTTAGGGTTAGGGTTAGGGTTAGGGTTAGGGTTAGGGTTAGGGTTAGGGTTAGGGTTAGGGTTAGGGTTAGGGTTAGGGTTAGGGTTAGGGTTAGGGTTAGGGTTAGGGTTAGGGTTAGGGTTAGGGTTAGGGTTAGGGTTAGGGTTAGGTTAGGGTTAGGGTTAGGGTTAGGGTTAGGGTTAGGGTTAGGGTTAGGGTTAGGGTTAGGGTTAGGGTTAGGGTTAGGGTTAGGGTTAGGGTTAGGGTTAGGGTTAGGGTTAGGGTTAGGGTTAGGGTTAGGGTTAGGGTTAGGGTTAGGGTTAGGGTTAGGGTTAGGGTTAGGGTTAGGGTTAGGGTTAGGGTTAGGGTTAGGGTTAGGGTTAGGGTTAGGTTAGGGTTAGGGTTAGGGTTAGGGTTAGGGTTAGGGTTAGGGTTAGGGTTAGGGTTAGGGTTAGGGTTAGGGTTAGGGTTAGGGTTAGGGTTAGGGTTAGGTTAGGGTTAGGGTTAGGGTTAGGGTTAGGGTTAGGGTTAGGGTTAGGGTTAGGGTTAGGGTTAGGGTTAGGGTTAGGGTTAGGGTTAGGGTTAGGTTAGGGTTAGGGTTAGGGTTAGGGTTAGGTTAGGGTTAGGGTTAGGGTTAGGGTTAGGGTTAGGGTTAGGGTTAGGGTTAGGGTTAGGGTTAGGGTTAGGGTTAGGGTTAGGTTAGGGTTAGGGTTAGGGTTAGGGTTAGGGTTAGGGTTAGGGTTAGGGTTAGGG